TTTGTAACTGAGACAATCAATTTCAAAGTCAATCCATAAAGGCATGTCTTATAGCTCACCATAGTCAGCTTTAAACATATCAAATGGGATTTCTTAATAACAAAAACTACAGCCACTGAAATGTTGATTGGCAAGAGACTTTGCTTTGTTATGTTGCTTTAAGAAAAACTGTAAAATAGATACAGCATGATATAAAATTCCGACAAATGATAGCTTGCACACATAATATCATCTTGACTTTTACATTACAAATATTTTAGATCATATTTTTCCCTCTTCTCCTACAAGCTGAACTAAAAGCTGTCACTGTTTTATAGCTGTTGCACCACTGGCATCTTTCTGCTACTCGTGTACTCCAGTGGATCGCTCTTTAATGCTTTGGCCCCCTTATTTAAAGAAGTACAACCTATACCAGATATAGAATTGTATTAAATCTAGACTCATCTACTAATCAGAAACCACATGGCATAATGTATAATTTGGCTTTAAAAAAAAAAAAGGGGGGGTGGGGGTGGGGGGGGTGTACAAGAGCCAATAGTGACGCTACAGCTGTTCACCACTGCTTAAGTAAAGTATTTTTATCAGCATTGGTTGATGGTAATGGAGCAGACACATGACATTGCAAATGCTTTTACGGATTAATCAATTGAACCTTGCACTCGTGACCCCATGACATCAACATGCACATGACACACATAGTGAAAACACCGTGTTAAACACCGTCATGGTCCTCACAGCAGAGTCCCAATGACTGAGTGGCTCACAGCAGCAGGATTTTGTGCAGATTGTGCAACCAGGATTGTGGCTGGCTTAAAAAAATTACCCGCCTTCTACATTAATTAGCTCTATTACAAAGCTACTGATACACTGTGGCAAGCCTGTCAGAGAGATAGGCATGAAAGATTGTTGAGGAGGAGGAGCAGGAGGAGGAGGAAAGGGGGATCAGAGGAGAAATAAGAGGGAATAAGTATGAAGCAGAGATAATTCGTAGAAAGCAGTTCACAGACAGTTGCATGTGCATCTTGTTTGTCTGGCTTGTTTGGAGTTTTTGTTGTTATTTACAGCTGACACTAACAAACTCCATAATGGAAAGAGCGCTCAGGAGCGTATGGTGGGCCTCCCCCTCACCAGTCATGATGTCACAAACCCAGATTAGACTGAACCATATGGCACACTGCCTGCTGTCTCTCTAATACTCAGCCACCATGAAGCATGTCTCCACCCATCTCCGACTGAACCCATTCATCTTTACTGTCTCTCTCACTCTCTCTCTCTTGTCCCTCCCTTGTCTATCTACGTGCCATCCTACCACTCATTCATCTCTCCATTCAACTCCACCTTTTTATTCAGCCAATCAGAAAAAGGTCTCTAGACCTCATGCAGACTCCTTTCTCAGTGGTGAATGAGACTGTTCTGGAAAACAGGATTCTCTATTATATTATTTGTGTTTATTTTGTTTTGTCCACTGTCTGTTGTCTGTGTCTGCCAACAAAGCTGTCACTGCGTCTTTCTCACTGGCTATTTGCTATATTTCTATTGTTCACTGCCTTTCTCCACCTGACTGTCTGTCTCTGCCTGTCTGCCTGTCTGTCTCTCTCTCTCTCTCTCTTTTCATGCCCACACAGTCATGCAGACATCACGTAACACATATTTGCTGGATTCATTTCATAAAGAGGCTTTAGGGGCCTCTGTTGTTACACAGTGGCCACATTTTTTGTGGCTCTCGGCTTTTCCTTTGAACTTTAAACTTTAAGGACACGCTGGAAAGACAACACCATACATGACATAAAAGTTTGTACTAGGAAGTCAAAGATGGAGATAATCTCTTAGAATCAGAAACTCTAATATCTTCTTGGCTTTAATGGGACAGGTCACTTAGCATAGCCATTGATATATTAAAGTAAAACTTCAATATTTTGGCTTGTATTCTGAGAGTTGACTAAAACATGGATTGCAGCTAGTTTTCTTTGCCTTCAATTAAAACTACTAGAAAACTGCTGACCTATTAAAACTAATTCTGTCATCATGCGCCTACAAAGCTCTTAAGCCGTTTTTATTTCTTGTAATTGGTACACAAACAATTAAAGAGCAAGGTTGATTTTTGTGGTGCTATTTTGTTCCATAGTTCAGCAGTTGCAGTTTCTTCCTGCTTCCTGTTGGTGGTATGATGGGAAATAACACCACTACTATACTTTAAAAAAAAAAAAAAAAAAATCTCCCTTTCAAAACTCTCTGACAGCTCAGTTGACAAGTCAAGATAAGTATCTGTTTGAGTCAAATGGAAGAGGATAGAATATTTTCCAATAAGTCATGGTGTTGGGCCAGTCTGGAGAAATATTGATTTCGATTAATACATCCAGACTTTTACAGGATTTCCGAATCAAGACACTGGTTAAGATTGTTAATATGGACTTAAAAACTGTTTTGAAATGCCAAATAATGAGATTCTTAACATGTGATTAAAATTTGATTAAAGCTCCCATAATGAACTTTTGGTTTGTGTCAATTTTGGAGCCCTCTGTGGATGAAGTATTTTTTGTTTATGTTGTCATCTACATCCTCAAACAGTGTCTGCTAACAAAATTTGTCATTCAGGGTGAACATTTTTATGGGAAAGTTGTCAAAACAGGGCTGTTTTTCTAGCTGTTTGGTTGACACCTACCCCATGTACCAGTTCTAGGTATCTAAAATGAGAATATAAATCATCAATCTTGTATCTGATGGTCTTGTTTTCTTTTGTATATCATAAAAAGAGACCAATATGAATATCAGTCTATTTCATTAATGTAAATTAAAAAAGAAAAAAAAGAAAATAACCTCTCACAGTAGCTTTATTTGCATCTAGAGCTACTGAAATGCACAGATTATTTATAGTTTTGAGAATCTTTTGACAGCCTCAATTAGATTTTTGCAAATACTACAAGGAGCCTTTCCAAAATTTCAAAGTCTATTATAACTCAAATTTCAACCTGTGAACTCAATAGGGGTCAGTGACTACGCTTACTTGACAACTTTTTTCACCATCCTTTTTCAGAGTACACAAAACTGTAGATTGTAGTTTCAGTCGAATTACAGGCTCCAGGTACATATGTACATTCAAACATGCTCAAACAAAAACCCAAACACAGCCCTGAGCAGCATTTTAGCATTTATTGCACATCATGTGAGTGCACGCAGTGTGACGTTTAAACCTGTTTAATTCGTTTGAGGGATTAGGCTTACACGCTGAAGGATATAAGGCAAGCTCAGCGAGCTATACAGAGGACAGAGCGGAAGTCAGAGGTTGCTCTGGTCAGCCACTTGCTGTCCTGACTCTGAGCTGTCTTTGAAATTCTTGTCATTACTCAGTACTTTATAAAAGGTTATACACAAGTAGCTTCATCTTAAAAGTCACATTATGGACTTAGGTATAGTAGATATGGTACTCATAAAGGAGTGTGATAGATTTGAATGTCATATCAATTATTTTCACATTTCATTTATGTCATGTCACTTGAATTTTTTTATGTTAAATGTGAAATTTTTGGGGCTAAAAATACTTGAGGTTGCCTCAACAACTGAGCTATCCCCATAAAGTCTCATTCTAGTGCATGTCTTTAAAGTCACAATTTCTCTGTTTGCTTTTGAAGACTTTTTCATGCTTGTTTTGGACAAATAATTTGACTGTTGCGGCTTTTTGACATCTAGCTGTTTGGTGGTTTGAGCATTCATATTTACGCATTAACAATCAAGTGTTAGTGCCTGCACTCAGCATTCCTGCTTTTTAGGTGCTTTCGCATACATCTTTTTTGGTGAAATTCAGACAGAGCTGATGAAATGACATGAGATTTTGTAGTCTCATAAATCATACAACTTAAGTCAGACACCACAAAAATTCTCATGTTTCAAAAGCTTTTTACAAAACAGCTTTTTAACAGTTATATGCAACAATAATAAAAAGAATTATTATCCGAGTTGAATAGTGTATAAGAAATAAAAAATACACATGAATGTCAAGAAGTGACTGTTACTGAGGGAGAGAGAAGGTGAGGAAGGGTTGGGGGGGGGGAGATACATACATGGGGTAAGTTGACCATAGGAGACCACTTTTTTCTGGCATGCTATATTATCAAGACAGTTATGTTTACACTTATTCTTTTGGTTTGCAGGGATGCATACCATCATGAATTATATGCAGATACACTAGTTAGAGACAAAAATGCCTTGATGCAGTGATCTGAAATATGAAAAATGGCTTATCTTACCCCACTCTCCCCTATTGCTTGGAAAACTGAGGATTACCAGGGTCCCCAAAACCAATAAGGTGATAACCATGATACCAAATTAGAGGCATCTGAACAGCAATTTACAAACCACGATTGACATCATACTAGCTTTGTCCATATTTTTACAGGCTAGAGTCATGTTAATGTTACAGTATGTTTATGACTATTAATTTCATAGCTTAAAGAGATGATCGCATATACATAAAGAGTCAAGAGAATGAAACTGACTTAAAATGAATGGAGCTGGTGTTTATTTCTTTGTAATATTATGACCTGTTTTCCTTTTTCTGAGTTTGTAACATTTTGTAAATTGTTGTGAGGGTAAATTGTTGCACCCTTTGAGACACGGTTTGTTTTTTGAGCAGCAGCTGCTCTTCTTGAGAAAATAGACCATGGGGTAATACCATGGATTTTCCCGCTGTTTCCACAGTCAGTAATTCTTGAATCAAACACGCAGTAGTGGAGCTTCTTATTTACCAGACCCGGGGGCGGAGTCGCAAGTCTAGTCATCGAGGTGGGCGGGTTCCTTCACGACGTTTACACATCGCCGGTGTCCATAAATGGTTCGTGACGTCACGCACCGGAGGTTCCATTCAGATAAAACTCATTGGCCGGAATCCCCTTGGAGGACATGTAGGCACAGACGCGCGCGGGACCCCTCGTTCGCCCTTATCCTTCGTGAAGGAGTTATCTTTCAATTCTTTAGGCAATAATAAACACTCCCGGGCTGTCACCATGAAAGTGTCCAGCATCGACTGCCGGCGTCTGAGGAAAATCATCAGGAAGGAGAGCGGGAGCTGCCTTATTGTGGACTGTCGACCTTACTTCTCATTCACAAACTCAAACATCAGAGGCTCTGTCAATGTTAATCTCAACTCAGTGGTGGTCCGGAGGTCCCGAGGAGGGCCGGTACCTCTGCAGTTTGTCATCCCGGATGAGAGAGCCCTGTTTCGGCTGCGGGAGGGAAGCATATCGGCCATCGTAGCTCTGGATGACCGGACGTCCCATTGGCAGAAGCTGAAAAAGGACAGTGTAGCACAAATAGTAATAAACACCCTGTCACATCTAACGAGCGGGGCAAACGTCTGTTTCCTGAAAGGTGAGAGCTTTTGGATGTTAAACGCTTTAAATCGAGAAAGGTCAATCTAAGGATAGTCAGTTTCGGTTTGCTTGATGAGACAGAAATAGACCGTCTCGTCTTTAAAACTGACCACGGCTTGCCCATTTCACATTGGGCTGCCCCTAATATAACAGTCTTAATATTATGGGATTCATTTTCAACTAGGTATTTGTTTTGTGCTTAACAAGATGGGGTACAGCTACAACAAAACAACTTTTCTCATCTTTGGCCCTTATTTTAAGGACTGAAACCAGTCTACCTTAACGTCTCACTTCACTTTATTTGTAAGTATCCTTATAAAGGATTGATACCGAGTCATCCTCTGGAGCTGCCCACATTTTTTCTCACTTCTTGGAGAGATAAATGTCCTGTGTGCGTCAACGGAGCAGATGAGTCAGTGTTTGAGAAATTAGTGGTGCAATGAGTTTCATTGATAAAATAAAGTTAAAAAAGGAGTAAGAGAAAAGGAGAAGTGGGCTGTTGCTCGTAAGTAATTTAATCCACCTGGGCTTTAATGTTTTAAAACGAATCCATTTCCGTCTGTTACCCCTCCGTCCTCAGGATGTTGTCCTAAAAGGATTACCGGCCCTTTTAACCGCGAGCTCCTGTAATTAATTACGCGCTCATAACCAGGTTATAAAGGTCATAATCCAGAGCTAAGACTGTTTCATAAAAGCTGCCATTTCTCAAGAAAATTGACGAGCGTGTCAGGGGGGGAGAGGTAGAAATATTCTAAGCTCATTCATGTGTGTTGATTCCCCCTCCCTTTCTTTCTCTCTCTCTCAGGGGGATACGAGAACTTCCACTCTCAATACCCTGAACTTTGCACTGAGGTGAAAACCATCGACCAGAGCGGAACTGAAACTGAGAAACGAGTCAGCAGTCACAGCGAGAGGCTTTGTCACCACAAACCAGATTATGATCAGGTATGGAAACACCCGAACAGAACGCACCTTCTCTCTTTCACTTACAGGGCCCACAGGGTAATAATTTTACCTTACCCTTGAAAAGAGAAGAAGAAACACACCCACTGTTTTTTAAATTTATATTTGGCATTTTCTTAACATTCATATGATATTCTCTGACCTTCACCACTCTGCGGTCATTTCAAATGTGGCTCAAATAGGCAGAGGGCACACTGTGCTTACATCAGGACCCCTCATAGAGAAAAAAAACACTTTCATCTCTGACCTTTCCTCTTCACTATCCACTGCAAAATTACAAAGCACGAGGCTGCTTCACATGTCAAACATCTTTTGACCGTGTCTGTGTTGAAATGTTATGGCTAATTCTGCTCAAAGCTGAATAAAATCAGAAAAATTCAACCTCCAGCTGCATGCATCTGGGCACGTTTTATCTGTGAATGAACACAATGTTCTGCTTACTGCTCATTGGTCTGGCAGGTGTTGGATGTTTTGGCTTCAATACTCTTCTTAGGGACTGAATGCATCAAAATATAAGCTCCATTTTTTTCTTACTCTGTCTGTGAAACAAACTGATGTACTTTTTAGTCTTTAGCTGAATGAACTCACTTCTTTTTCTTCTCTCTCTCTTAGGGTAAACCTGTCGAGATCCTGCCTTTCCTCTACCTCGGTAGTGCCTACCATGCCTCTAGACAGGACTATCTCAGCGACCTTCACATCACGGCCTTGCTCAATGTGTCCCGCAGAGACCTGCAGCCGGCTAAGGGCCGCTACGACTACAAATGGATCCCGGTAGAGGACAGCCACATGGCTGACATCAGCTCCCACTTCCAGGAGGCAATAGAGTTTATCGGTGAGTCTAAGAGGAATCAGTACTTAATTTGATTGACAGGGTCTAATCCTGAGTTTTAAAACGTCACAGCAGCATTTAGTGTTTACGTTTTGTTGTTTCAAGAGGATCTCACCAACTAGGAAGAGGAATAAATAATCTCTGAGAAGCCAGTCTTTTCCTAGAGGGCCACCATCCTTAGTGTCTGTATATTTCTGGTGCAACATCATCCCAAGCTTCTCAAAATTACCCAAGCTGAGGTAGTGCGTTATCTATATATAGATCTGTTTATTCCTGCACCTTAAAATAAGCCCCTATTTTACTGCCTCATACTGGCTACCATTCATGAAAACAGAGCTATAAGAAACCTCACAGTAATCAGTTTAACTTGATCGCCTACCTTTAATCCCCCACAAACATATCCAGCCAGTCTGCTTTCATTCAGGATTTGCTCACTTCCCCCGTTCCCTTCCGACCTCGCTCCATCCACCCCTCCTCCCCCACAATGTCTTAACTTGAAAAAGACGCTCCCATGCCGTCATTGCCTCCGAGGCCTAATCTCTGTGGCTTACTGTGCCGGGTGTGGCCAGTCAGTGTGACAACTGGGTGAGCTGTCCGTGTTTAGTAATGGCCGGGGGTGGAGGAAGACAAAGAGTGGGAAGAGGAGCATGGGGCGGACTGACACATTCAAACACCCTCAGTCATGGTTGTTTATGGTGAAGGATAAAGGATAAAGGACTGACACACAATGTTGTGGGTAGCCGGCAGGTGAGAATCATTGAGGGCAGCGGGTGAGTGGATGTCACACTGAGAGGTAGAGAGAGGGTGGGAGAGGAGAGAGGTGCAGGATAATAGCAGCAGCAGCAAAAGGTGTACACAATGTGCTGGTGGCTATTTTTAGCCAGCCATAACCAAGGACAAAGCTCACCCACCAGCAGCCTGTCTGACCTGCCTGATTTTTGTCGGTGTTGTTTGGGGATGCAGCCTACTTTGAAGGGGGTCTTTGTGTATGCCTGTTCATTATTACATAAAGCCAGAAATGGTTCCAGGGGCCAGGTTTAGCCTACATTTAACCAAGGCCTAAAAATTTCATCAGCCAGGCCAAGTGATTAGAAATATGGGGCACATAAATCCTCACGAGCTGCAGCTGGACCCTGAACAAAAATCAATCGCAAATCAGTTGCCATTCTGACCCCAGTGAATGATGTCCACCAGGGGAGGAGACGATAAATATTATTAACTCCCTGGACCAACACAGCTGCTGAAACATGTCATGGCACCTCAGCCAATGAGGGCGCATCACCAGAGCATGGTCATTAAAACACCCACGGCTGCTGTCTTCTTTTTTTTTGCCCCCTCATGTGAATCCTACTCTCCAGATGGGAAGTCTATGATTCATTCATGCGCTTGATCACAGATCAGAGCTGTCAGAAATCAAACCCCCTGCACAGACTGTTGTGCACAAGTGGCTTTCAATTTTTCTATCAAACAGAAATAGAAAGAAATGTGTAAAGGTGGCACTAGCTGTGTGTCCTTTCAAACTTGGAGATAATGCACAGGGCGGAGACATGTAGGAGTTTGCTATAATTTTGAGCTTTAGGAAAATGCTTCATGAGCAATGCCTGCACAGATAAAGTGTTTTGTGTAGGCATGAGAACATACAGATAAGTGTGGAGTGTGGAGGAGTGCTGCAGCTCTGAATTAGAACACCCGTCTCTGTGCCACAGTGAACTGTGCAGCAGCACCCACAGCAGTGTGGGAGAAATAAAAGTCTTGAGTATATCTGCACCCAGTGACTCAGAGAAGCTTCACAAGTGTCTGCGCACAACTGAAACTGGCACAGAGCATGTGTATATTTAAATGTGCTAGCCGATGCAGTGTCCTGACAGGACTGATGTTCCCGTTTACCAACAATAATCTGTCCATTTGTGTGTGAACATTTTTGTATAAAGAAGTAAGTAGGAGTAAAGTGTAGTCAACAGTTCCACCTCTAAACTGTGATTTAAAAAAAAATCATTTACTGTTTTGAAGTCTGTGCTCCACAATCAAACAACTTGATTATTAGCCATACACACAAAGAAAGAAGTAAAAGTCACTTGCAATCAAAAAGAACCATTTTGTGTAATCACTGGCTGAGGTTTCATTATGGATATGTTTTGCTGATTGATAAGAAGAAATGTGACTAAAAGTTTCATTAATATTTGGTTTTTCTTCTTCTCATTCCAGATCAAGTAAAGCAATCAGGGGGGAAAGTCCTGGTCCACTGTGAGGCAGGCATCTCACGCTCACCCACCATCTGCATGGCATACATCATGAAGACGCAGCAGCTTCGGCTAGATTCGGCTTTTGATATCATAAAGCAGCGCCGTGCAGTCATCTCCCCCAACTTCAGTTTCATGGGTCAGCTGCTGCAGTTTGAGTCAGAGGTCCTCTCCATGGCTCCAGCTCACGCTGCCACACCTGAACCATCTACACCCTGTGTCCCAGAGTCCGCCTCTTTTTTTGCCAGTGACTTTTCGGCCACCTTCAACACCAAAAACTTTGAGCCACCTGTGTTCACCCTCCCTACCTCTTGCCTGCAGTCCCCGGTCCACCAACCATTAAAACTGAGCCCAATAACTGCACTGCCTTAAGATGAACTGTGACTGCTTGTAGTCTTACTTGAAAAAATAAAAGCTCTCTGATTGCCTGTTGTTGAAACCAGCAGAGCAGTGAGACTGGCAGACAGACCTGCTGTTTCCAGTCTTCTAACTGCTGTAATAAAACAGCACAGCACAGTGATAAACTGCAATATACATGCCTTAGGTTGATATTGTGATTTTCTTTTTGCCTATTCACAAATACAGTCAGGCATTTAAACCTAATTTAATTAATAATTAGTCAGTCTGATTTTTCAATAATGTGGATGTTGTGTTTAATAAATGTTTTCACCACAAAAATAAAACTGCTGTCTTGTGATCATTGATGCATTTCATTTTGTAGTTCATTGGTTGAATATTATTGGATGTGGATAATTTCTGCATGCCAGTCAACAAGACAAAGGATAAAGATATTGAATAGATAGATAGATAGATAGATAGATAGATAGATAGATAGATAGATAGATAGATAGATAGATAGATCCCAAACTGGGAAATTCACAATCATCAATCAAGAGTTTAGTCTGAGGGTAAACTCAATCAGGATAGACAACAGTGACTGAGCTGGACTTTTTAAGTAAGTTTGGACATAACACAGCACACATCACAGTTTTAATCAGAGAACACACACTTATGTTCACAATTAAGTGTAAGTGGAGCAAATTGTTGCGTTCAGACAAACAGGCATTGGTACAGAAATAAAAAAAATCCTGGTCTCACTGAAAAATAAGGATGCAGTGCTTTCATACACTGTATACAACACACACTGCATTCCATACAAATGCTATTTAATATAATTCACAATATTTGTAGATGCTGATGAATAGAAATGATTTCTTGTGAGCTTCCTCCTCTCCTCTTGAAGCCAGTACACATCATTCTGTTTCGTCTGTCTTTGGCGCCTAGAAAACCGGCACTCCGACTGTACCAACTGTGAAAATAGGGAGGTAAACAAGAGGCAGACGGGTCAAAAGGGTTGTTTACGCATCAACACACGATCGCATACTAAAGGAAGTTTATTTATTAACATTAAATTTGATCATAATCTCATTCTATTTCACTTTCAGACACAATTTCGTTCGTGTATTTTATAAGACCCTGTTTTCACATAGTGGTATAATCCAAACTATCCCGCCCCCGACGCCATTTTCCATGTTATTCTCCTTTACCATAGTGTGTCACCAATTTTGAATGCATCAATTTCCCATATTTTGACAAGTTTGGGTTATTTAGTTCCCAACTTCTCCTGTCAAGTGGAGGGAGGGAGCTTACCTGCCAGTTCAACCAAGCAGACGACCTGTTTAGCCCACCATGTACATCAAACAGGTAAGCTAGCGGCTCGTACATGCCGCCGACTATCAATGGCCTCACGCTCATACAACTAGCTACTTTAACGACGTTAGACTCAAAGATGTGTCATGTATTCCGATGTTTATTGGGATTGTTGATGTAATATGGTCTCAGAAATGGGCGAAAACACTCCCACGTGGTTTGCAGATATGATAGACACCCGATGAATCGTTGCCAAGGCTCCCCTAAACGGTATTTGCCCATCCTCCCTCCCAGATGCTAAGCTAACGCTACAAGGCTAACGCTAGCTTTGCAGAATAGTAAACTTTACATTTATGCCGCACTTTAGGATTTTGCATGCTTTTCGTCGTACAAAACGGGACATTTAACAGCCTTTGCCTTTGTTTGTTGCGTTTAGTTCGTAACAAACACACGTTCAAGCTAATGTACAGGATTAAATCACCCCATAAATAAGTGTATGTAAAAGGCCTGTTAGCAGACCTGCTCCGTTTCAGATCATCTGTAGATACTTGAGGCAAGCGGGATGGGTAAGGGGGTTTAGGCAATATTATTTGTGCAAACAAATTTGTACATCTGTGTGACGTGAAATATCAATCAAATGTAATGTTAGGGAAGGATCATATAGAGCTATATTGTTGTGTGTTTACTGTGCTCCCTGTCATCCTGTGCAGGTCATTATCCAGGGGTTCCGAAGTTACAGGGACCAAACTGTGGTAGACCCGTTCAGTCCAAAGCACAATGTCATTGGTACGTTTCTTCTCATTCAGGTTTTATACATCACGTCTGCCTCTTAGTCTGCACTGAATTTTTGAGCCAATAATCGACTAATTGTTAACATTAAGAGTTTCTTTTTTTCTCTATGCTTAATGTAAGTGTCAAAGAAATGAAGTAATAACATGGCTCTTGTCGGAGTCATTACACCAAATGAAATTTGTTTAAGACTAGACTTGTAATGTCAGTGAATATGGTAATCTGTGATTTTCCCTCCTTTGTGTTTATTTCTATTACAGTTGGGAGAAATGGATCAGGAAAAAGTAACTTTTTTTATGGTAAGTGAGCATCAATTATTGTTACCTAATATCAGTCAAGCATTTTACCTATTTGAGTGTTTATGTGTTAATATAATACCCTGGCTCCTATCTGTTTCTAGCCATCCAGTTTGTGCTCAGCGATGAGTTCAGTCACCTGCGACCTGAGCAGCGTCTGGCCCTTCTCCATGTGAGTGCTGGCAAATGTCAGGCAAACTGCAAATTAAAGCTGTTGTTCTAAGAATAGCCCATTAATTCTGTGGGCTTCATAGCTTAACATGTTTACACTAAAATGTTTGTGAAACTTCTTGTTTTCTAAGAAATTTCAAATGTCCTTAAAGATTTAATTGCATTTCTATGAAATGTGACTTTTGGGGGAAGAACACAAACACAGTGGGATACATTTAATACTGCAAGGCTCTTTATGAATGCAAATATTGAACTGTTGTCCATTATCTTTTTTCCTCCCTGGTCACTATAGGAGGGAACTGGTCCTCGTGTCATTTCGGCTTTTGTGGAGATTATATTCGACAACTCTGACAACCGGTTGCCGGTAATATTTCTTTTCTTTTCATCCTGTTACTTGTTACCTTTGAAGCTTACAGTCAACCTCCCAAGTGAGATACTATTTTCCCTTGGGTTTATTACAAATATGTTTTGATATTTGTTTGTTGACAGAGCTACGTAGACGTGCTGGTTTGTGTTATGCCATTGTGATATGTCCAGAGACAATCTGTTTGCATAAAATCGGAAGTCCAGTTTGAATATTCAGCACATATGTTCAACTGATGGCACTCTTTGCTCTTCTGTGTCCATTTGTGCTGAATAACCCCCTTAAAAGAACCTTCTCTGTGTTGTCAGTCCTTGCCCCCATTCATAGTTTTACATTATCAGCCTATTACACTGTCATTTCAGATTTAACTGTCTCCCTAAATTGCTGACAACTGCTGTGCCCAGAGTAAGGACAGTGTTTATTGTTCTGATGATGAACACCGGATGTTTGCAGCACTTTGAGATAGAGAGATTGCCTCAAACTGGGCGTGAAACTGTAATCATACTGCCTGGTAAAATGGTGACATAACCAGGCAATTCTCCTGCTGTGTGTGATTCTCATCTTGACCAGCAATTAATGTCTCCCCCCGCCAGATTGACAAAGAGGAAGTCTCCCTTCGGCGCGTCATCGGCGCCAAAAAGGACCAGTACTTTTTAGACAAAAAGATGGTGACGTAAGTATTGCTGTGACTGTCCATGCAATCACAGGAAATAACAACTCTGTGAATCCATGTAATCTCTTGTTTGATGGCGTCTGTGATTGTTGCAGTAAGAATGATGTCATGAACCTTCTGGAGAGTGCCGGCTTCTCTCGCAGTAACCCCTACTACATCGTCAAGCAGGGAAAGGTGAGAAAGGAGTGGGTTCCAACTTCACACTTGGTCAACACAGAGTTGTTTGTTTTTTAGAGTGAGTGTGATGCATTGCAGCATTTTAGCAAGCCTGAGTATTGAGAGACTCTGGCTGGATGTCTAGGCTTGTTGTGTCAGCTATACGATATAATCTGGTCCAAGCAGGGGTTTTGGTTTGAAATTGACATATGGCAGTCATACTAATTGCATATGTCAGTGAAAAATGAACAGCAGGTTATTTCATCGCGTTTCTTTTTTTCACATGTGTTATGCAGATCAACCAAATGGCCACAGCGCCTGACTCTCAGCGTCTGAAGCTGCTGAGAGAGGTGGCAGGGACCCGTGTGTACGATGAGCGCAAAGAGGAGAGTATTTCTCTTATGAAGGAGACAGGTACAAACTCATCATCAGATTTCTTGTCTGGACTTATGTTTATTGATAATTACTTTTTTTTCCAATAAGCATAAGATTTACCATCATTTAAAGAGCAGAATATTCAGGCCATGTTACAGGAGGAAAAATTTTGGGTTTTTGGGATAAAGTCAAAAAGTAATGAGATAGTCATACATTGACACGAATGAAGAAGTTCTTTCTCGAGAATAGTCAGACATTTGTTCTGGTAACTGTTATGACATGATTTTTTACAAAGTCATGAATTTACAGTAAAATAAAGTTGGAAATCAGAAACAATAGTCCTTTTTTTGAGCCGTGGTTTGCCTCCATGTTTTTTAAGGAGGAGAATAGAAAAGCAGCTCACTGTTTGTACTCGAACAGGGAATGTGAAGCGTCTAACTTTAGGTGTAGGTTTCATAGGTGACAGTATTCGTAATCTTGCAGCACACCGCCAACACATAGTTGTCAAGTATCATGTTCTGAACAGGTTGAGTAAGAAACTGGGTCTATTATGTTGAAGAGCAGGCTAATAGTCAGCCAGTGCATACTTGTGCAACCGCTGTCAATCCTCAGCTGTAGCAATGAACTCTACCGTATGGCAACTTCACAAGATGATTAACTGTCCTCATTTTAGTGCAGGTGACTGCTGCTCCTCTCATATCTTTTGACAGAATATATGAGTTGATTTACACAATCTCTCTGTAATTATGATGTTTTTTTCAAAAAATGATATTTTTTATGTTGACATCTTTGTTCTTGTAAATTTTTGACTCAGATCTTTTAATTTATAACAACTTCATTTCATCATCTGGCATAAATTTGAAAGAATCAATCCCAAAAAGAATTCTCTAGTTGTTGAGGCTGAAATTTCATTTAAAAAAAAAACAAAAACAGTCTGATGTATGTCTTCTTCAGAGGGAAAGCGAGAGAAGATCAATGAGTTGCTGAAGTACATTGAGGAGCGTCTGCACACTCTGGAAGATGAGAAAGAGGAGCTGGCTCAGTACCAGAAGTGGGACAAGATGAGAAGAGCCCTGGAGTACACCATCTACAACCAAGAGCTGAATGAAACCCGGGCCAAACTGGATGAGGTGACCAACTCAAGAAATTAAGGGAGGGGGGGCTTTGGTCAAACAAAGAAAAAGTAGGTCGACTGAAGTGACACCCATTTATTAACCTATCAGTTGGTCACATGTAAATAAAGCCCCTAAGAACTGGTATGATGAGGTGGCTGATGATGGCTCTGGGTATGGACATGTTTACATTCTGTTATCTGTTCAGTACCACTGTATACTCAAGAATTGAAATGGTCATCTTTTGACATTGCCCACTATCAGTATTTCTTTGCTGTTTGACAGTTGAATGTCTCAGCTGAATTATTATTATTTTTTTGTTTAAAAAAAAAAATAGGAAAAGGCACCTTGTCCTACTTTTTTTGATAGTGTGCTGTGTTGTAGTAATGACATGTGATCACAGCACTGTAACAAGACTATTTTGACAAAGCCCGTATACAATATGGCATTAGAAATTTTATTTGTCTTGGATTTTTAAGGTAATGCTACACAGGACCCACTTATTTCAGCCTGCACCGTGTATTTTCCAAATAAAGATGTGTGCATATCAAACCGTCTATCCCCAGACTACCAAACACACACACAAACTCATGCTTACTATGATTAAATTAAACAATTGATCGTCTTTGCATTGTTATTGAGAAAATTAACAAAACCCAATCTACTTTGACTTAATGTTTGTACTTTTTTAATAGCTAGTTTAGCAGATTTTGTAATGGTAAGATTTTGAAAGTGTACTTTAATGAGTATGACTCCACAGATGAAAACTAGGATTTACCACCGCAGCGCCCTCACAAAATTAATACTCTCCAGGGTTTAACACAGCTGAATTTTGTGTTGTTTTTTTCCAGCTGTCAAGCAAGAGAGAAACCTGTGGAGACAAATCCCGACAGCTGCGTGATGCTCAGCAAGATGCTCGTGACAAAGTAGAGGTAAATAATTTCACTAGTTATGAAACACAGCTATGTGTGGACACTTGTAAGAATATTTACTAACTAATCATAATTTGAATTATAATTTACCGAGGTCATTCACATTTTTTCAAGTGTAATTTGTCCATCTATTTTACATCATGACAGATTAAATGGGATGTATGTCTTAGTTTTGTCAACTATACAGGTATTTTGCTGGGAATTGATAAATCATGTCAATGTGATCTTATAAAAGAAAAAATATGGATATTATTTCAGTACATAACAGTTAAAAGGAGTTAAGTAAGGGAGTGGTTTCTTAATCAGTAAAGAAGTAAGTCGTTGTATTAGTTGTCTTTGAATTCAGTCACAGCTAGTGTCTTTGTTTTGGCTCCCTTTCCATAGGAGACAGAGCGCGTTGTGCGTGAGCTGAAGTCCAAAATCTCCGCCATGAGGGAGGAGAGGGAGCAGCTCTCTGCCGAGCGCCAAGAGCAGATCAAGCAGAGGACCAAGCTCGAGCTGAAGGCCAAGGACCTGCAGGACGAGCTGGCAGGCAACAGTGAACAGAGGGTACGGAAGCCTCCCATCTGCGTCACTCTGCACACGTGATGCTGCACCAACAACACCACCACCCTTTCTCCTTCTCTGCACCATCAGTCTGTGCAGAGAGGGATGGTAGTGTTTTTTTAATACACAATCTTATATGATCTACATGTATGCATGACTTACTATTCTAAATGTCTGAATGTATTTCCACAAGATCTCGGTCCAAGTGTGATTAGGCTCATGCATAAGCATCATGTATACAGGATGCACTTAAAGATTAAAACAGTGTAATTTTACAGAACATATTTAAAATTCAGGGATGTGGTGATTCTTTATAAATCCAGAATTCTGGGTTTTCTGACCTAAAAACCACTAAGTTGTGAATCATGGATCCAGCACATGAAAAGATTTGTAAGAAAAGAAGGAGCCAATAAGTTGCGTAGCCTAATAAGGAGAATTTTAAGACATCCCTGTTATTGTGATTTTATAAGACTTGATATCATAAGTATCCTTGTCCATGTTTGGGCTGTGCTTTAACTTATTTGGTTGTTTTGAAGTGGTGCTTTTTGTGTTTATTACGAGGCCTTGAATGCTCTTCACTGTTAGCTGCCTGCTAATGACCCAGCAAACAGAGTTGTGCTGTGTGTGCTAATTCAATGTGCGTTTTGGTTTCAGTCAGCACTTTGTTCAGAGGGTCTTCATAGAGAAAACTGTAACCAGCTTCAATGTCACTGAGGTTGAGGACAAGGTTGTGTCGAAAACTGACTTTAGTTGGCTGTATAATGATGATGTTGTTGTGTTTTGTTGCCCAGCAACATAGCATGTCACTCCATTTTCCTGACGAGGATGTGAAAGGAACAACACAAACACGTCTTCATTACATGAACTGTGCATCATGACTTTTTGTCCTGTGCAGATCAGAGGAGAAACTATTACATCTGTACGATAAAACTGTTGTTCACTACAAAGCAGATGAAACAGCCGGACAGGTGTTGGCTAGAGTTTGCAAAAACAAAACCAAGATAAGTTGAAATTACTGGGAAATTAAACCCAGAGCAGCAGTCAATCAGGCAGCTCGACAGTCTGTTGTGTACTTTGACGCCTTCCACTCAAGTGATGGCTGTTGGTCAAAGCGGTTTTAGATAAGGTGGTTGGTGAATGTCTTGACAGCCTACTCTGCAGCTGAACTAAAAATTATCAGGACACACACACATGATGATGTCCTTGAAACCCCTATGACAAATGAGGTTTTGTTCCCAGCTGATTACCCCTTAAACTTATCAAATTTAGTCGTCAACCAATGAAACAGTCTTGATCCATTAGCATTTAGTTGTTGTGTCTTATTCCCTACTCAGACAGGAACTTGGTCTCATGCTGCCGCCCAGTCTTTGCATTTGGTAGCTGACAGTTTAAGTGCACATCCTTTCAGCTGAATGTTACTGGTCCAATAGTGAGCTGAATTGAACCACAACAGAGGAAGCTACAGCCTCCTATCAGACTCTTTGCCATCAGCTACACGATACATCATTGCTGGCTCAGACTTGTGTGTACAGAGCTGGCACTGAGAGCTCTCCATATGGCCATGTGTTCAGTGTGTGTTTGTGTGCACGTGTGGGTGCGGAGATGATAATCATACATAACGGCTTTATTGGCTCAGTCTGCGTGTGAATCGAGATGGGTCCAAGGCAGCATGCTGGCTGTTGGTTGGATTAAGTCCACCTGGTCCCAACTGGCACAGAATCAGCCAAAAGTTATTGGAGCAAAATGAAAAAGCAAAGAGAGCAAAACTGCGTCACTAGCTAGCTAGCTGCTGATGGTTCTGTTTTGAGATGGCCTTGATAGCAGTGGAATATGGGGGACAGGAGAAGTTTCCATCACTATCAGATCACGTCCCGTTATTGCCACAGATACACAGAGACAGCTGTCTGAATGAGTAGTTGTTCAGATTTCAGAATAGATTTCATGAATCTGAATTTACTGGACAGAGATTGAAGACTGAAATCTTGACACAAATGTTACATGGTGATCGCTACATGGACGTTACCCTTAGCATTTGTATTTTCCAGATTTACATTCATTTATAGTAGGTGATATGGCCTCAAATCAATATCACAATATATTGAGTAGTTCACCTCGATAACCATAAATGGACAATATCTACTTCACAAGCTGCTCACCCCCTCCCACATTAACTTCGTCTACTCCAGCCGCTTCAACTTTTGAACTGTCCTCCATCTCCTCACCTGTCTTTCCCTCTTTGTTATGGACTGGATGGGGTGGAGTTATGTCTCTGATGTGGGACAGCATCTTAAAGGGACATGAGACCATAGCCCACCTTCACACATCCAAAACTAACTTTCATTTATTTATTTTTTTTGACACCGAATAAACCGATATGGGCAAAAGGAAGTCGGTTTTTGTCCTAAATTTCGGTATTGGTAAATTTTCGGTTTATCATCCAGCCCTAACTTACAGTCATGAGCATTTTGAGGCAAAATATTATTCAATAGTTACTGGGAACTATTTAGTACTAGATCATGTGGTGTGCGTGTTTTCATTCTGCAGTCAGATAGACTACATGCACAGTCTCCGCATTTTATACCAAATCTTATAGCCCTACATTTCCATGAACTGTCACCCTTAAGTATAAAGACATAAGCAGTACACAGTAGAGGACATTATCTGTAGAAATACTTCCCAAGTATAATTCTCAGTTATACTTCCCATGAATATTTTTCATAGTGTAAAAATAGTTTGTGCATGAAAGGTATAAAATAGGAAATTTCAATATAGATATTTTTACTTTCTGAAATAGCCCCTCTGTCTGTCTCACAACAGCTCACGTCAGGCTGTAGATGAGCTGTGTTATATTTGTTTCAGTTCTTTCCTTTATGATCTTGTCTCTCCAGAAACGGCTGCTGAAAGAGCGTCAGAAGCTGTTGGAAAAAATCGAGGAAAAGCAAAAAGAGCTGCAGGAGACTGAACCCAAATTCAACATGGTGAAGGAAAAAGAGGAGCGGGGCATATCTAGGTATGGATGACTCATTCTCAGCTACGGTCCCTTGAGCAGCAGACATAATCCGATGAGTCAGTCATTACATTTTGAATACATTTTGATAGCAGTAGATCAAGAGGTGGTTACACATGAGAAATTTATGGATTCCCTTTGAGTAGTTTCTGCAGAGTTGCTGCAAACCTCAGGAATCTTAAACCACATGAAGGTGGCCTTGAGAAAATAGTTTCAGTTATTTTCCAAAAGCTGAGTTTTGAATTTTTTGACAGAAGTGAAACCGATGATTTCTTTTGAGTCTCTTTGTACATTACTATGAGTCACCCATATGATACAGGGCTGCAAATGATCAGAGCAGCAGGCCCTTAGGTTGAGAAAGTGTTTATGATAAGAATTTAGACCAATTCCTGTAAGAACTTAAAACTGAGATTGAAAATGTGTAACCCCCTCCTTGCTTATGTCTCCCACCAGACTTGCTCAGGCTACACAGGAGAGGACAGACCTGTACGCCAAGCAGGGCCGAGGCAGCCAGTTCACCTCCAAGGAGGAGAGGGACAAGTGGATCAAGAAAGAGCTTAAGTCTCTGGATCAGGCCATCAATGATAAAAAGAGGCAGATCGCAGCCATCCACAAAGACCTAGAGGACACAGAGACTAACAAGGAGAAGAACCTGGAGCAGTACAATGTAAGGCAACTCAAAACAGGTCCACTACATCTGCACCAGTTTACCATGAAGGAACAGTTTGGTTTAGTGTTTTCAGGATCAGTGCTAGGGATAGTTCCAGTATAGGACTGGAGGTGGTACATGTTGTTGCTACTGGAAGCCACCAGCAACTGAAAACACACTTCTATAATAATATATTTTAGTTAAGTTTGGATAGACTTCTAAAAGAGTCAGGTATTTGCTAGTCAGTAATTTAGTCATTTCTTTTTTAATGTATCATTTTCTCTACATTATATGTCATGTAGTAACAGGTTGTGTGGTTGAAATCTTCTTCTATAATATAAAATACAGATAACAGTGCTGTGATTGTTATGTGGAACAGTGTGTGTGGTTTATCCAGCAGACTCCACAGTGAAGGATCTCTTTTAATCAAGGCTTTTTCTTGTGTTTTAACATAAGCCCTTTACTTCTTTGCTTATCTTGCGTTCAATCAACTTGTCTCTTACAGAAACTTGATCAAGATCTGAACGAGGTCAAGACCCGCGTTGAGGAACTGGACAAAAAGTACTATGAAGTGAAGAACAGAAAAGATGAGCTGCAGAGTGAACGAAAGTAAGACCCTTGATTTTTTTTCTTATCTCTGACTGTCTCTTTCACCTCTCAATTCAGACATGATTGGATTTGAAGGAGATCCTTTTTAGCAGTTAGTTTTTGCACAGTCTCGTTCACCTGATTTGGACAAGTGTTCAACAAATCAAGCCAGCATCCTGCTGCCTGAAGCTCAAAGGTTGAATCTTTTGCCCTTTTGTTTGACAATAAGCTGTTTCTGTGTGGCATCCTGTAGTTACACACCAGATTATTGTTGTCTCACTCCACCTAAACAAGGAGTTTTATTGATATAGCAGAGGATAATCCTTCAGGCGACCTGATGCCAAACACCCTTTTGCTTATAAAAATGTCCTTCGGAGTGAGTAATGAAAGATTTGTCAAGACAGCTGTTCCCTGCCTCTTCCTAAAATGACAAACTGAACAACACTTCATTTGAGCATCTCCAAACATTAATTGTACTTGCATACTGAGGGCAATATGTGCGTCAGTGTAGACACCAATGACATTGTGTGTGCGTGCGTGCGTGCGTGCGTGTCTGTGTGTGTAATATTGAATCTATCATGCATCTCCCAGCTCACCGTAATCCATTGTTTGGCTGCAGTGGGTGAAAAGGTAGCTCAACGAGGGCTTTGATTGGAAGAATAGAACATGCAGCCCACACAGCTGCAAGCTGTTGGGACTCTGTGATCTACAAATACTAATATCAAAACTGAATGTCATAATGGAATCAAGAGGGGTGCTGTTTTGGCAGTGACATTGTTTTCATTATACAAATTATGTTATTTGACAATAGTTAAGCAAATCTGTGTGCCACGAGGTTAATCATCAGTGTTCTCAATCTTGGAAAAAAAAAATGTAAATGATATGAAGTCATGTGAAAATGAAAGAGCACCACATCTGCTATTTATTTTCAAATGCTCTCGTGTAGGGCTGCACGATTAATCGATTTTAAATCATAATCAGATTATTTGATGATAACGATGCTAAAAAATTAAAATCATCAAATCGATTTTCTTCTCTATCATGTCTCGCGCCTCCAGGCCACCGTAGGCCTGCACGTGTCCGGCCAAAACGACCTTTATACACATTCTCCGAACTCTTCTTCTGTCTTTTGTGCACTTCTTCGGCAGTGTTACAGCACCACTTACTAGCTTGGCATATGTACTTCATCATTTTCAGTGGTTTCATTTTAAAATATGATAGAAAAACGTATTATTTCAGTGAAGTTTGGTGAAGTTGTAACTGAATAAAAAATCAAAATCGAAAATCAAGTTTTCAGAGAAAAAATCTTGATTTTAATTTTTGGCCGAAATCATGCAGCCCAACTCACATGCATAATCTTTATCAGAGGTCGAAGAGCCACACGTGTTTCTTCTCATCACAATATCCCACCCAAAAATACCATAAAGGTGTCACTTTTTTATGTACTGTGTCTCATGGTTGGTGTTTTTTAGTTTCTATTTTCTATCACAGACTGTTTCTCAAGTGTCCTGGCTTCCTGTACCATAAGTGTAATGTGCCATTGTCTATACTTGTCCAGCTACCTGTGGCGTGAGGAGAACGCAGAGCAGCAAGCCCTGGCAGCCAAACGAGAGGACTTGGAGAAAAAACAGCAGCTCCTTCGAGCGGCCACTGGCAAGGTCTGTGTCATTGTGCATGTCTGTGTAATTATTGTCTTGCATAATGTAAGTACAAGTCACATAATGAGTCTGTACAAAACTGGAAGATGAATCTGTGAAACGCTAATCCTCTTTCGTGCACACTCTCCTTTAAGTGAAAAACTTGTGCCTCTCTCTTTAAATGAGCCCACCTTAACACTGCGATAGACTCACTTTATGACTCAGCCAGTTGTCAAGACAGGTATATCAAAAGGAATCATTCATCTACCTTGCTGCTGGCACCTTATCACAGTGTGCTAAATTTACATACGACTCACTCCTCTCGGCCCGGTCTGCAACTGCCAGTCATTTCTCCTGGGCAGAAACATCAATCCAATATCATTTCTGAATAATGTGCTGAGATTAAAGGAGGCTTCACGGGCAAATGTCCCGCATTTATTTCTCTTCTATCAGTCCTGGGTGACTCATCCTGTCTCCAGCCCTTTATCGACCCCCTCCCGGTCATCTCTCAAATTTATTTCAACAGCTTGCATTTCATCTAAGGATGCACAATCCACCTTTCCTAGTTCTGATACCGATACTGAACCGATACTGATGCAAGCATTACATTAACCTTTAATTAAAGGTTGAGACTAGAAATAATATTTTGGCAACAGCAAGCATCTATAACTTTGTCACCCAGAATGATACAAATAACGCTTCTCTGATTGACTTTGACACAGTTAAGAAGAACTTCATTCATCCCCAAGGGAGATGAATCAATAGAAATTCAATACATATTGATTATTGATAACGTTTTAGTCATTAATTTTAGTCAAAGAAATATTTTCTGTTCTTAAAACCAATTCAATTAATCAATCAGAAATTAGTATCAAGATTGCACTTGTGTTTTAATCTGAGGATTTTTTACTATCTTGACACTTTCAGTTGTGTATTACCTGGATGACTTACCTCAGTTGGAATATAAGGTTTAGATTATCCCAAATTGCCTTGCTGATGTGTAGGACTACAACAACGACGATAGGGCTACGACTTTTTTCAATAATGAAAAAAGTCGACAATGAATTCCATTGTCAACTTTTGTCGCCAGATGTGTTTTTTCCAGTGGAGTGAGGCATCGTACTTCATTATGATCTCTGCCGAGAGTCACACATGCGCAATAGCGTCTCCACCGAGCGATAGGGTAATCAAACATGGCGGAACCGGCGTCTCATAGAGCAGCTACAAGTATGTGCTTAAAAACCTCCAAAGCTTGGGAGCACTTTAGCCTGGATAAGGTGAAAATAAGAATAACTTGCGAAGTTTGCAAAGCAGATCTTGCGTATCATGGCAGCACATCGGTGATGCACGAACATTTGAGGAGAAGGCACATAATTATCTGATTAGTCAACGAATTAATTCAATTATTGGTAACTAGTTGACTATTAAACTAGTCGTAGTTGCAGCCCTACTGCTGTGCTGTACCTGATGATCTGCTGAGGTAGTATGAAGGGATGATCCTTACTACAAGTCTAACATTCTCCGTGTGGCCCCTACGGTAGAGATTATTTTCTTTGATGTGTTTTTTCTATGGGGTGGGGTGGGGGGATAGGCCCCAGACCCCAATGTATTTAAGCCTTGAAAACGCCCCTGAACAGGTGCAGAGCAGACACTGAGTTCACTGCTCTCTCAGCTCATCTTCACTGATTTATAAAGAATCATTATAACGTCACAATCTTAGAAAATCAAGGTAAACTGCTCGAAACAGGAGCCTGCGTGAAGACCGGAGACAAATGGATGTTACATTGATAAAAACTCGTGAGTTTTATGAGATTTAGTTCTTGAAAATAAACTCTTCAAGGACAAATCTTACCTCTGTCAACAAATTCTGTGCTTATAGATACTGTGTTGTTCACTTTCACTATTTTGTGGCCCTGCAGGCGATTCTGAATGGCATCGACAGCATCAACAAGGTCCTTGAGCATTTCCGTCGGAAGGGCATCAATCAGCATGTCATCAATGGTTACCACGGCATTGTTATGAACAACTTTGAGTGTGAGCCCGCCTTTTACACCTGTGTGGAGGTGACAGCTGGTACCAGGTAGGGGTTGTTGTTTGAATCTCCACTGCCAGCTTCCTCAGACATTTCTCTTTTTTTTGTTGCAATAAAACATTTGAAGCATTACAAAATGTCCTGATATAAAAACAACAGTCGCTCCTCTTCTTGTGTGGTGATATAATCAGTGTTTCAACCATTTTACTGTGTTCAGCTGCCCCTCTCTTTCCACCATTTGCCTTGGGACATAGAACTTGTTGTTTGAATCTTCTTTAGTAATCTGATCTAACTTTTTATCACAAAAAGGACTTCTGTCTACTTTTTGGATCATATGTTTGATCACCAAGTACTGACACAGGTGTTTGTTTACAAGGCTGCAGCTTTCATGGATTGATGGATGGATGAAGTTACTTCATCCAACCTGCTGTTTCAGTGATCTGGTCATTCATTGTCATCCTCTATCTGGCGACCTTCCTGTTTTCCAGACTTTTCTACCACATTGTCGAGACTGATGAGGTCAGCACCAAAATACTGATGGAGTTCAACAAAATGAACCTTCCTGGAGAAGTCACATTCCTACCTCTGAGCAAGTTGGACGTTAGGGACACAGCCTACCCAGAGACCAATGTAAGACACACACAGGGATCACATCTGGTAGTTTTGTACAAAGCAAATGTGGACTGTCATCAAACTAACGTGGCTCACTCTGAAAATAGCGTTATTTTTAGACATTAGAAGTATGTTAAAACCAAACCCTTCTGTTTAACAGCAGTGAACTTGCTCATACTTAATGATTTGGTCCCTGAGGGAAATGTAGTTTCTTTTTTTTTCTTGTTATTCTAACATATAATTATTGTTACCACTGGAGTGTCTTTTGTTCTCCTGCCTTGTTCATAATTATATGTTCTTGACTTCCAAGGATGCTATCCCCATGATAAGCAAGCTGCGCTACAGCCCCAACTTTGACAAGGCCTTCAAGCATGTGTTCGGAAAGACCCTAATCTGTCGAAGCATGGAGGTGTCCACTCAGCTGGCCAGAGCTTTCACCATGGACTGCATCACTCTGGAGGGTAAGCTCACCTGTGACTTACAGCAGAGTTCATACCTCAATGCAGGGGTCGACAGTGCGACCGTTTCACTCACATTTGCGACTAAAAACAGATGTGTGCGAATTGTAAAATGTATTAAGGGGCACATGTGCGCATAAAGAAAGATCAGCTGAGGCAACCAATGTTTTTTTCATGTAAACACCGCAGTGAAGTTAGTTTTAGGTTGGACATCAGACAGGCAGTCACAGCGGGTTTACCGGTGTCTTCTCACTCTCCATAACAGAGAATAGCAACAACAGTGCGGTTAAATCTACTCGGCATCCTCACTGTCAATGTCGGGTGTTGAGTAAGGGACCATCACCAGTTGATATTCTCAAAAAAGGCTGTTTTCTTTCAATAGCTTCATGTCGTGACCAATTGACCTAAAATTGATTTCATTTTATAGTACTTATGTTGACCAATGAGACACACATTATTCCATCAATTTTGTGAAAAAAGTTAGTATCAAGCCCTGCCTCAATGACAGGTTTGGAAAAGAACGTGGTGGCTGTGATGGGAAAAAAAAGTCGTCCATTAAATGAAAAATGTCTTCCAAACTTGTTTATTGGCAGGTTTGTAACAGTACTGCTCCTAATCAGTCTACTTATAGATTTTGTAGTGGTTCCCTTCACGGCTCTCCCCAGGCATATCTGATGTTGACAGTAACTACAGAATATGCATTTTCATGTTGTCCGCTTGTTTGTTCCTTATATGAGGAAATGAAACTAGAGGGTGTCCCTGTGACAGTCCTAGTTCAGAGTAAAGGGGTAAGACAAAGGGGAAGGGGAAAGAGTGACATTTGGCCCTTTGTCAATCCTTCACTATAGATTACATTACAATGTGTTATGACCTTCCAGGTGACCAGGTGAGCCACCGTGGAGCTCTGACAGGAGGTTACTATGATACCAGAAAGTCTCGTCTGGAGCTGCAGAAGGATATGAGGAAGGCTGAGGAGGAACTGGGAGAGCTGGAAGCCAAACTCAATGAGAACCTTCGCAGGAACATTGAACATATCCTTTCTTCTCAAACAGACGGTTTTTTTTCTCTGCAGTAGGACTGACAATAGCTTCGAGGGTTCTTCCTCATTCTCCTTCTGCTGTCTGAGTTTTCAGACAATTTTTACCCATTGTTACCCTGTGACTAAAAAGATCAGATGGGTTTGGGCAAATCCTATCCTATCATCACAAAAAGTCCTGCTTCAGTTTTCAGGGAAGAAATAAAAAAAGACCTCACATTTCTGTTTCAGAGAACTGCATATTTTTAATATATTTGATAATGACTGATTGATACGAAAATAAAAAAGCAGGTGTGATTAGCTTGGAGCTCCTGTGACCTTGGCAGTCTGAGCCCAGAAATAGCGGTTGAAAAATCATAGTTTGGTATTTGGTTATTAAATGCTGTGGAAACTGGAGTTATGACTCTGAAAAACACAACCTTTGCACCCTGTTCTTAGCTAATGAGGTGGATTTTTAGCTCATCTCTGACTGTTTTGTGTTAAAGCCTTTCCTTTATCTTGTCGCCAGATAGAAGTTGAATCACCCTGAGTGCTGCCTCCGATCATAAACAGTGGGATTTCACACCTGGATTTGAAATCTCCATTTAAGCCCTCAGTGTTATGTAGCTACCTCAGCCAGCAGCAGCAGGAAGCTGATTTTGATGCAATGAGGGTTTCTAAGCAGGTCAAGAAGGATTAGCGTGTGTTAGGTCATATCAGCCAGAGCCATGACTCACTGCTGGACAGCCCATGAGGGCAAAGCAGACGGATCAGAGGGGATTTGTGTTTATATGCACAATATGTTGACAGAAATGGTCACTTCCGTCCAGGTATGATTATCCATTTGTTGGCTCACCTGCTTTTTACGTGGACAGATTTTTTTTTTTCAGGCCAGTTCTGTGCATGTGGGAACCTGGGAATTACGTATATGTGTGAGTAGGCAGGGGAAGAGGGGGATGACACAGACATTGACATGGCTCTCGTCCTTCACTCCTGCAGTAGTGAGTCAGAGTGGATCAATTATTAAAAAGCCTGTCATCATTCACTGCCCAACTCTCCTTTCGATAAGTGTGACTCTACACAGACGCACCTTGCCCATCCCTCTTCTTTATCTGCTTCTCTCATCATTTAGCCGCTAGTAACACGTTGTATTTTTTATCTAGGAAGTTCATGACCTGATTCCATCTAACCCCATTTAAGATTATGTTTTTTTCCCTTCATGCTTGAGGCAAGCAGGCGGAGAACTGCCTGACTTTCAGCAGCTCCTTTTAAGCAGCTAATTGATTGACTTGGGTGTTTATTGAGCTCAGTAAATCTCAAAGGCCAAGAGGAGACTTGAAGCCCTGGAAGATCAATATGCCTGTCTGTTAAATTAGCTTAATGATGACTTTGTGCAGCCCTCCCTAATCCTCTGCCTTGATACCAAAGACCACACAGGCCTCCCTTTGGGGCCCTTAAGATCCTACATTGAATTCAGTGACCCTTCTATTTGCGAATCGGAATACCTTATAGACCTGATTTATGTATCAGGTTATTTTCTTTCTCTGAAGTGAAAGATGGTGTACAGTATTAGTGCTACAGTTTTCTTAAGGTGAATTCAGAGTACACACTCTCCGTGCAGCTGTAGCTAGTAGATGTTCCTAATAAACATCAGTGTATACTTCCTTAATTTCTGCTTCCACGCATTAATAATGAGATCGACCAGCTTATGAACCAGATGCAGCAGATCGAGACACAACAGAGGAAGTTCAAAGCCTCCAGAGACAGCATCCTGTCAGAGATGAAGATGCTAAAGGAGAAAAGGCAGCAGTCCGAGAAGACGTTCATGCCTAAGGTAATGCTGATGACCTCACAGTATTGTAATTTCTACTTGTTCATAAGCTCAGAGGTAAATGGTGCGAAGGACTGAAAGCTCTGGACATTCTTCTACTCTTTAAAATAATCTGCTTTTCTCACCATTTTTCTCTTTTCTCGTTCTAGCAACGCAGTCTCCAAAGTCTGGAGGCCAGCCTTCACGCCATGGAGTCCACCAGAGAGTCACTGAAGGCCGAGCTGGGAACAGACCTGCTCTCTCAGCTCAGCCTGGAGGATCAGAGGCGTGTTGATGACCTCAATGATGAGATCCGACAACTCCAGCAGGTCAGCAGGATCTTTGGACACAGACGTACTTTCTGTGTCTGTTCTCACAATCGAATAATTAAGCCATAATCCAAGGTGCTGCAGTTAGACATACTGATGATTCGTGGTTGGTGCAATTCATTAATGTGTCGATGCATTGCGATGCTTCTCGTGACAATTTGGCATCCATTAATTAATGCAGATGCTTAAAATAAATAAATCATAACGTCAGTGTTTTGCGGCAAGGCCATAACAAAATAAAAAGACGTAACTGGAACCTTAATGCGGAAAAGAAATGGATTTTGTGAGAGATTAAACGAGACAACTGACGAGTACTACGCAATTTGCAAGGCAAAAATAGAGTACCTTGGCAACACCACAAACATGAGGCAGCACCTTGAACGCTTTCATCCCGAAACGGAGACGGCTGTTCCGGTCGTGCCTCTACACAGAGGACCATCAAGGAGACTGTCTCCAAACTTCCCAGTTTAAGTTAAGTAGGTCAAAGTGTAAATGTTTACATAACAGTCTTACAATCATAAAATATTTTGAAAAATACAAGTCGAATGTTCAAAAAACCTGATTTACTCATGTGTAGTGTAGTGTTGAGTGTAGTTTTAGAGGAACTGAGTTCATTGATAGGCTATTTAATTGTAGCCACAGATGAGGACAAAATCAATCTTGTCTGGAAAAAAAACATTAAAAAATGGCAATAACCAAAGAATTGTTAATCATCGAACCAATCATCGAATCGACAATCATTATTATTGAAGCTCCCAGAATCGAATCGAATCGAATCGAGAGGTACCCTTGTTGGAACACCCCTACTAATGAGTAGTACTGATCTTCAGGATTGTCCTTCCATTCATTACACTGCTGCATGCACAGTCACTCACTATATCTATATCATCATTGGGCAGCCAAAATAACGCCTCTTTTTTATGTCAGTCACACTCTGGTGTCACACATCAGTGATTGTGTACTGTTTATTGTTTGCTTCACATGACTGTGCTCCGGTCGGTCTCAACTGTATAAAGCCATGAGTTGAGATGAGACCTTAACTGTTTCATGTAACACGACTTCTTGGAAGTGGAAGTTAGTCTTGAAATAGTCCATGTACAGTACAGGCCAAAAGTTTGGACACACCTTCTCATTCAATGTCTTTTCTTTATTTTTCTATATGACTATTTACACTGTAGATAATCACTGAAGGCATCAAAAATATGAATGAACACGTAGAATTTTGTACTTATAAAAAAAGTGTGAAATAACTAGAAACATGTTTTATATTCTAGTTTCTTAAAAATAGCCACCCTTTGCTCTTGATGACAGAAGTACTTCGTGACTGTCAGTCACGAAGTAACCCTGACAAGGCACACCTGTGAAGTAAAAACCATTTCAGGTGACTACCTCATGAAGCTCATTGAGAGAACAGCAAAAGTTTGCAGCGCTATCAAAAAAGCAAAGGGTGGCTACTTTGAGGAATCGAAAATATAAAACATGTTTTCAGTTATTTCACACTTTTTTCTTACGCACATGATTCCACATGTGTTCATTCATAGTTTGATGCCTTCACTGAGAATCTATGATTTAAATTGTAATGAGAATAAAGAAAATGCATTGAATGAGAAGGTGTGTCCAAACTTTTGGCCTGTACTGTAGATAAAGGGTGAAGACGGCCTGTAACTCTCTCTTTCTCATTGTATGTATCTCAGGATATCCATGCCTGAATATGGGACCCTGTTTGTTTAATACTGATGCTAACGCTTGTGTTGGAGTCATCTGTTTTTGAATCAACAGTGGTCCGACTTCATTACTACTGTTATTTATTCGCAGTGCTGTAATTGCAATGTATGATAGGACTGAAGCCTCCAGCTAGCAGCACAGTAAACAATGTGGTGCTATTAAAGTAAGCGACAATGTGGATTAGTGCTTTGTTTCAGCGTTGTTCCATACTGCATAAGGAGCTCTGATGTCACCAAAGCTGCAGGACCACATGAAGAAAATCAGTGACATTGAACTGAAATAATAGCATAATTACTTTCCTCTTTGCATGCTACTTGGAGCAATCAGCTACAGTTCACTCTCTCTCTGTCTCTGTAACTCTCTCTCTCTATCTCTCTCTCTGTTTTCTTCCTACTCTAGATTCTGTTAAAACATATATAATTACTCTGTTTCATGGACCGTATCACTTGTATGTGTGACTGAAAATAATCAACTTTTAATTCTGAAAGCTGGAAGAAGTTTTCATTTTCTGTTGATTTTGGCAGCCACTATGGACAAAAGCGGTAGTGTTTTAGCCCTTACTGCCTGAAGACACTTATCTGGCTCGCATGTCAGGGCTTCAGAAACTAACTTTTTTGTGAGCAGTTTGAGGCAACTTGCTTTGTAAATGTATTTAAAAATGGGAAGTGAGTCAGCTCACCGCGACGTGTGAGACAGACATGGAGCAGCAGGACTACTGAGCTTAGTAACACAGAGCTGCTCTGCCTGTCTGCCTCTGGTGTGGAGGAGCTTCTCACCCCGTGGTTGCATCTCTAGCATGACACAGTGTCTGCAGGAGTCTCCTGCTGCAGAACGTTGTCAACATTTGTGTAGTGACAGTAATATGCACGTTCTCAGTGCAAAATGAAGAGAAAAAATGCATGTGTCGTCTCCGGTCTGAGTGCCGTAAATCGATTTGTTCTTGGTCGTGACCTGACCACTGGTTCCCGTTTTCCTCGTTTTCCCTCTTTAGAATTAGCTTATCTTCACACAGATGGGCTCATTCGCTGTTGCAGGTGACAGGGAGACATCAGCAGAAACCAGAGATTTTTTAAATCTAGTTAAAAGTTTCTTAGAGGAAGTTTAGGTTCAAAGCAAAACTATCTGTCATATACTGCAGTAACTATATGGCTACGTTCATACTGCAGGCTATGATGCACAAGTCGGATTTTTTGTTAAATTCGATCTGCGTTTGGAAGCAAACATTGCTTTCCACGCCTGTTTGTGTTGTCGCACAATGGTGACGTTTGACATATGTTGATGACGTATAGGTCGGATGAATGCGACCTGAGCGTCCACACTGCAGTCACATCGGATACATATCCAATTTATATCCACATACAAAAAGAGTCCTGGGTCGTATTTGAAAAAATCAGAATTGCACTGTTCACACTTGCATGAAAAAATCAGATATGTGTCACATATGGTTTAAAAATCCGAATTGACCTGCAGTGTGAACACAGCATTTCAGTGTCTGTATATGACAGATGGAAGGTGAGGGGATTTCCCTGCTCTTCTGTCTGGTGCCAATCACACCCCTAATGAATCTTCTGGGGGAGAAGATTCAGTGTTAATCGAGTGTCTGTGAGGTCGTACACATTTTTGTAGTGAATCTAAATGTGTTTAGAAGAGGAACAAGAATAAATCCACAGTATAACAAAAGTGCCTTGGGGCTTTTACCCCGTGGCCCTAATTAAATATGATGTCAAATATGATACACTGATACACTACCCCCACTCTCTTGCCACTCCATGAGCTACGCTGTTACATTCACGTTACATTACCCGTGCAACTCGCTATACAGACCGTGTATAAGCTTAAACGTTACCCTTCACATCAGTGGAAGAGGGTCCGGCAGGATTTGATGCACTCGTTGATAACTCAAAACAAGTCGGAAATAACGTTATGTGTTGTTGTGCTCACACAGTGTGAGTAGAATCATTAGTGGCGCATTGATATTAATGATCATGTGAAATTTCAGTTGCGGCGCACGTAATTAGGCATCAGTGGTGCTGAATGAATGTAGGGGAAACACTGCTGATACATATGAGTCCGAGGTAGAACTGTGTGAGATAAAAACTAATGTTTTATTTTTTTAAGTGTGGCGGCTTTTATTTAGCCTTGGCGGTGAGCCACGATCAATTGCATGTAAGGGAAACCCTGCTGATAAATTTACTCAGATGCGGCATATTCTCTGAAAAAAAGTTCAGAAAAGTCTGAAAATTAGGGTATGGAAAAGTATGGAATTTTTTTGTTCCAAATGTGTATGAACCCTGAAACTTGATTTGTGTTGCTGACAAAAGGCTTTATCTGAAGAACAGTGAGTGCTCTGTTCTATCTGCCCCCTCCTCTCCTGAACTGACAGGTTGTGCTGAATTCCTCTTTTTCTGACATCCTTTTTATAAATGTTTTGATTGCACTCAAACTCCCCCCGTTGGTCAGAGAGTGCTCCGGGTTGTGCTGGATGTAAAGCTTTAATGTTACCACGTATTTTTGATGGTTTTGATCAAAAACAAGTAATTCTCCAGTCTCCCCCCTCACATCACTCAGCTTCTGTAAAAACACAGCTCAGCTGAAAACAAGCTGCTTAGATTTGTAATATATTGAAAATTTGCCGTTTTAAAATGAGTAAAATCTAAAGAAGGATGGTGCAGGGAGTTGAAGGCGTGCTGCTGATGTGAGTGGACAGCAGAAAGTAGCACTAACGTCTTGAACTTTGCTGGCAAAGTTTTCTAAAAGGTCTTCAAAGGTGTGGAATTTCACTTCAGGATTACTGATCATAAACCCTGATGCCAAAAACACACAGGATCGGTATAGAGTGCGTTCCCTCAGCGTCGCGTCTCTGTTCCTTAAAGCAGCCCTGGGTGTCACATACAGGATGCGTATTTGGAGCGTAGCAGCAGTGTAGTGCAGCCCCGGTTAGCTGGGCTCAGTATAGAGGGAACAACATGCTCACAATAGGTTGTTTTTTCCTTTCTGTGGTCTATTTCCTGTTAATTTGGATATAATTCAGTGACTGGTGAGCTCCTACTATATGCGAAAAAGCAACGTGATTTTACAGTATCAGTTTTTGCAGGTTTACTGGTGTTTAATAAAGTAAACTATGTTCCTTTATGCTTTGCTGTTACCTTGAGACAGAGTTAGCAGTTCAAAGTCCTGTTGGGGTCCACATGGATCAGGGATTGACCATCCGATTGTTCTGTATTACTGATAAATTCATAACCAGGAAGTATTTTTCATCTACATGAACTGGTAACAGTCGAGGGTCCACATATGGTGTTTTATTTTGAAATGCAGGATGACATGCGCATTTCTTGTGCTTGACATCCTGTCTAGAACGATCTTCTCTGTGTGGATTGACGTGCATTGAAAGCGTAAAGCAGCAAAAATAAACTCATCGTGTATATTTAGCAGAGCTGCTCTGCATACGCTTCTGAGACGGAGCTAATGCGTGTCCTGTATGCAATGCTGCATTGATTAGAATGGCAACCTGTTTGCTGCGTGATACGCGATGCTGCCGATATGCGCACAATACGAATCCTGTATGTTTTAGCCTTAATGTGAGTGGTATTTAGGTTAGTCCTGGATATCCACTAAAACTGACTACGTTTTTCTCCATTTTTCAATTTAAGCCACAGAACTGTTTAGTGGATTTATGTCTTTGCTTTTTTTGATACAAGCTCCTCTTAAGGTTTAAATTTATATCCATTGGCCATGCTTTCAGGTTACAGTTTAATGCTGTGTCACAAATGCGTCAACGTCAAACTAGAAAAGTTTGTTTTTATTCAGCCTTTTGCAGAATGGCTCTCTTTTCTGTTGGCTCTCCAACACACTGGACAAGAGACTTATTGTTTGGCTAAAATAGATGAAGCATTCTCATCCCTCCGTCTGTTTATATTTAGTCCAGAGAACATGGCCCTCACCTACATTGTGTTTTTTTTTTTTTTTTTCATTTTTTGTTGTTGTTGCTTTGTTTTCCCTGCCTCTCAGCCTCCTGCTACTGTATTCAAACCTGACTGAGGTGAGAGCAGCAGGCAGCAGCTGTGTGTGGGATGTTCCTGTGATCCAGCATTGCCTCTCTCTTCTTTCTCACTGCCAGCTGCTCTCAGCTCTCACCTCATTGAACTGTCAGCCATCCCTGCAATCGTTGTGCAACTGCTCCGCCCCCACAACATGGAGCCTTTCATGTATGCTTCTATAATGTTGCCCGTAGTTAATTCTGTCACTTGCTACATAATGCGTAGTTACGAAATATTATTTATAAGCCAGTATTTGGCTGCACAGATGTGTATGTGAACATAGTGGTTATATACATCCTTTTTGTGTGGAGAATCCAGTGGACCTTGCTTGAAGTTTCAGTATTGAGTGCAGAGTGAGATATTGATGATGTTGTATCAGAACAATCTGAGTCAGATATCAGGGAAGGATCACTGATTGAATCTAAGGGGGCTTTCACACCTACATTGTTTGGTCCAGACTTTCGGACTTTTCTTTTTGGGCTGAACCAAAATGATAGGTGTGAAATCTCGCCAGAATCTTGGTCCAGACCAAACAGCCGCACCTTGGTCCGAACAAAAGAGGTGGTCTTTGTCCGGACCAAACTGAACCACGGTCTGGTTCATTTCCAGTGTAAAAGCCTTATTTTGAAAGGTTCAGACCTTCGCACCAAAGACAGGAAATGACGCGAGGAGTGGAAATATCAGTGATTATGATGAATGGAGATTGTCCAATAACAGGAAATTTTATATTGTAGATAAGGTTACACCTCACTATTGACAGCTTAGAGAGTTTTACTACACATACTTTTCTCCGGAGCCGGTGTTGCAATGACTTGCAGGATTGCATCCTTTCTTTTCGTTGTTAATGAAGTTGTTGTCTAATGATCAAATTCATGAGACATCCTCGGACCAGCCTCATGTACAGCTCCTCAAGTTGTCGCTGTTGGAGGTAGAAAATCAAAAATAGTACGACGGTGGGAATATTGATTTCATCCATGTTTGCACCATTCAAGACCTGCGGTTTTTAACGTGTTGACGTCAGACGCCTGCCGACCAAATGACCTATCAGTGTAAACTGCAGAGACACACAGAGCACGCACATGTTAAGTCTGTTGGTCCATTTGCAATAATGACAGCGTGAAACCTAAACGGACCGAACCAAATGAAAACAATGTAACAACAACATGGACCTTGGTTTGGACCTTAGTCTGGACTTTCAGGTGTGAAAACCCAGTAAGTATTAGTTTTAAGATGTGGGGAATATGTACTAATTCCACATGTGTTTGTTGTCCCCTCAATCCACCAACAGGACAACAGGCAGCTGCTGAATGAGAGGATCAAGCTTGAAGGCATCATGACCAGAGTGGAAACATACCTCAATGAAAACTTAAGGAAGCGTCTTGACCAAGTAGAGCAGGTACGCTGAGCCCTGAATGTCCCTGATAACTCTGTAGACCTGTAACAAGTCCAAGTACGGCTTTGCAAACAGAATGTTGTACTGTCATGGCGTTTAAGATGATGGTAAAAATACAACTCTTAGTTATTGTTTTTTTTATCCTTTTAATAAAATTGTACAGCCCTACTTGGATAACCAGCAAGTTCAGTGTTTATTCATGCAGCTGCAAAACAATTCAAGCTTATGAAATGTACCACTGCTCTAAATGAAGGCTCTTGAATCTTTTGATCTAAGTTGTACAACATAGATGAGTGACGCTTCATTTTTTTTTAATCTGCGCCCTTTTGTTTTTATGAAGGAGCTGAACGAGCTGCGAGAGACTGAGGGAGGAACAGTGCTTACAGCCACAACATCTGAGCTGGACGGCATCAACAAGCGTGTGAAAGACACTCTGTCTCGATCAGAAGGTAAGCATTGCACGAAAGATGCAACTCTTGAGAGGGAGGGAAACCCTGAAGGGTTAGCGGATCCAGCTGGAAACCAGAAGCGAAGTACAAGGATTAGCAGTGCTAGTTAAAGATCTGTAAGGGCCAACATTTTCTGTCAGTCAGAGATCTTCTGCAGGGAACTGTTGACTGCCCCCTGTTGACCACCAGCAAATAGGTCTTGGCCGTCTGTCTGACTCACAGTCTGAACCGCATGTTTCATTGCTTTTGTCTTCTTGTTCTGTGATGAACTTGTCGAGTGCAGACGTCATCAAGCACTTGTTTTAATTTTCTTCAATCTTGCACATTTGTTGGAGGTGTTACCTTTTATAGAGAAGACATTTTATACTCAGGGCTTTTTTATGGAGTCTCATTTCAAATTTGCATTTATGAGTCACAGAACAATCTCTTATTCTTTTGTCTTTTTCTTTTAACAAACAACATGAGGAGATTGTTGATGAAGGCTCTGGAGCCAAGTGGAATAATTGTGGATGTTAATTACAAACATCTGAAAATTAAAGTTGTGTCTTTATTTTAAAGATTAAGAGTGCCACTCTCTGTGAAGAGTGTTGAGTTATTGGCCCGTATGTTTCCACATCACTGTCATTCACAAATGAACCCATTACTATTAGCCTCTGTCCTCACCGCCAACTCCTGTGTCTCCTCCAGATCTAGATGCTCTGATCGACAAGATGGAGGCTGAGATAAAGGACCACATAAAGAGCATGGAGCGCTGGAAGAACATCGAGAAGGAGCAAAACGATGCCATCAACCACGACACGAAGGAGCTGGAGAAGATGACCAACAGGCAGGGCATGCTGCTCAAGAAGAAAGAGGAGTGCATGAAGAAGATCAGAGAGCTGGGCTCGCTGCCCCAGGAGGCCTTCGAAAAGTACCAGACCCTGACACTGAAACAGGTGTGTGCGCGCCCACACACACACACACACACACACACACACACACACACACACACCTTTCCTGAGTGGATGGAATCAAATTCATGAGATCTTTTTCAGGACCATTCTTCATAACCTGCTTTTAAGAAAAACTTATAACCCATCCCAAAAACTCATTCTCAAGGCAAGATTGAAGCCATGGTCCATTACAGCCAGCTGCCACTTGGGGGCAGTCCAACAATTTGTTAATTGCAGCATACACATACCATCCCTTTATGTAGATAGCATGGTCAAATGTGTCATCACATGGTTAGTTTGTTTTTTTTGTATATATAAAGAGTTATGCTTTAACCCACTTAGTGTGGGCCACTAGTTTAAATTAGAATAGATATTTTCTTAGTATTTTACTGTTTACTCTTTAACAAACTTTTAATGAAGATATTTTTTAAGTCTGACTGCAAACGGATGGCATGTGTTCACCTGCGATAATCTTTTTCCCATCCGCTTGATTGGCAGAAAGAAAGCACAGTTTGTGTTTGTCACAAGTGTCATTAGCTGACCCTTACTCTGCCGAGAAGTAGGTCAATGAAAGCCTTCATACATGTTCGAAAAAGTAGGTCTGCAAAAGTGAAACCCCAAACAATGAGCTAAGAGACACTGAAGCACTCCATGGAGCTGAGGGGCCCTGCAGAAGGGTGATAATACTTTGTGGGATTTTCACTGCTAGCTTTTACATCACACATTAGGAATAGTCATTTGAGGAACGAAGCATAAGATAATGCAGCTTTGAGCCTTTTGAGGTGTTAAGTGCTGTGGAGGGAAATAGTTACCGTGTTAGAGGTTAGGAGGGCCTTTCCTGGCCCTTCACGAGTTCTAGTTGTAGCCTTCAAAAACACCCCACGAGGCTTTTCTCACTGTGACACTGGAGACTCAACAAGAGGAGCTGCAACAATAACTTCTGCTGAAGGTCAGATCCTCTGTGCATCCTATCTTACGGCTGGAGTCAAACTTTTGAGTGGGAACATTTGTGCACAGAAATAAACACACAGATAGACCCAGGGTCTGCAAGACCTGCGGCTGTCCCATCCCTCCCACTCAGCAGTGACTCAGACCCTCGTCAGTGCCCTGTCTCTGATTTTTTTCAGCCAGCTCCCTCTGGGTGTGAACTGTGAGCTGAGGGGTCTTGGTTGTGTCTTTCATAAGTGTCTGAGCATGTCCTTTGTGTGTGTGTGTGTGTGTGCGTGCGTGTGTGTGTGTGTGATATCTCCCCTCCTTGGCAGTGCTGAAAATAGCCCTCACACTTTCTCATAAACACTCCACATAGTTAATCTTTCTCCACGGGACATTGCTCAGGGGCAAGACAGTGCCAGTGATTGCAGAAGTGGATGAGAGGGTCGTATAATAATGGTACTTGCTCATGTTTCCTGGGCTATTAGAGATCCAGATGGATGAATTTATAGTTTGAGTGTTGAAGAGTGGATGTCATTTCTGAGCCAAGCTGAGCTGGTGCTTAACCAGGTCATTCAAAATCAAAATCAAAATCAAAATCAAAAAGCAGTATTGGGAAGGACACATGACTTTTCTCTAATCAAAAGTCAGTCCCTGAAGATTGTTTAAAAAAAAACCTCTTTTAGAGCATCTTGTTATTTTTGGAGGCACTGACAAGGTGCCTGCCTAAATCCACATAGCTTAAAGGTCTTCTCTTTCTCTTTTCAAACTCCCACAGCTGTTCAGGAAACTGGAGCAGTGCAACACCGAACTGAAGAAGTACAGTCATGTCAACAAGAAGGCTCTGGACCAGTTTGTCAACTTCTCTGAGCAGAAGGAAAAGCTGATCAAACGTCAGGATGAGTTGGATCGTGGTTACAAATCCATCATGGAGCTGATGAACGTACTTGAGCTGCGCAAGTACGAGGCCATCCAGCTCACCTTCAAACAGGTATGTCTCTCCTTAGATTCGTACTGCTGAAAAAGACCAGGTGAACCATGTGCAGTGCCCATGATGCATCCTTTATGGAAGGTTGTTTTCTTGTTAAGAATACCTCGGAGCGACTGCGACTGTATCAAGACTCTGTTCCCACATGTACCTCAGTTCATATTTCTCGGACATTGAGGTTGATTTAGGGGGCATTCACACCGGGAATGTTTGGTTCGTTTTAAAAGGACCATGGTCCCCTTACTCCTTTGGTCTGGGTGGTGTGAATGGCAAGCAAATCGTGGTCCAGATCAAAGAAACGAACCATGGTCCTCTTGAGAATGCAGGACTCGGTCTCCCTCCAAACAAACCATGGCCTGGTCTGCGGCAGGTGTGAACGCAGCGCACCGGACGTTTTATTTGTCAATATAAACAAAAAACACATTTACACTATAATAAAACTGTTCATTAGCAAAGGACCAAATGCAACTCACCCACTCTTCTCCAGCAGCCGCTTGTTTGTAGGGGAGCCCTGATGAGTCGATCACTGAGTGCAGTGGAAAATTTACGATTATTACTTCATGGAAATGCAATCAGACCAAGATGCTAAGGCAGAAGAACTACCATGTCTGCAGTGCACATACAAGATACACAAGAACTCTGATTGCATTTTCATGAAGTAATAATCAAAACTGTTCTTCCTTGAGCTGCGAAACTCCGCCGCACTCAGTGACCAACTCGTCAGGGCTCCCCTACAAACAAGCGGCTGCTGGAGGACAGTGGGTGAGTTGTGTTTAATCTTCTTTGCTAAAGAAATCAGGCAAAGTTAAAAAGATGTTTAGTGGCTAGTACTGTGGCTGGGACCCTATATGTACTGTTGATGAAGTTAGGTGCTGTTCTGAGCATTATTTGTGGCTATAGAGTGGCTTTTTGGTTGAGGTTTGTGCGTGGAGACATAGACTGCTGTGTATTGCTATAATGTGGTCGTTACTAAAGTTGGTATAACGAGAGATGCAAGCAGTCAGCAACATTCATCTCTTGAGAGAGTGTCTAACTTGGTGTTATGGTATGTTTAACCCTAAATTAAACTTGTGCTGGAATATCCCTTTAAGGCTGTCAGTTTTTAGTATGACAAGAAATGTTCGTGGTGAAAACTACGTCTTTGTATCATACAGGCTTTTAGCTGCTCTTTAAGTTATACCATGTGAGGGTTTAACTATGGTCTCTTACAAAATGGTCTGGAACAGTAGACTTTAATTTGACCATTGTTTTCATTCTAACTGTGAAGATCTTTGGAGACTTTTTTTTTTCTTTTTCTTGATTTTTCAATCTACACTCTGTGAAATTCATGATGTCTATCCCTGGCTTCACTGTTTGTCTGGTGTCTTCATTGACTTTGTGTCTTTCATTGCCATGTTTCCCCTCAGGTGTCAAAGAACTTCAGTGAGGTTTTCCAGAAACTGGTGCCAGGTGGAAAGGCTACACTGGTGATGAAGAAGGGGGATGCTGAAGGCAGCCAGTCTCAGGATGAGGGTGAGGGGGGCGCTGACAGTGAGAGAGGCTCTGGTTCACAGAGCAGCGTTCCCTCAGTGGACCAGTTCACTGGAGTCGGCATCAGGGTAAGTCTGTTTATTTATTCGTTTGTTCATCCTAGACTCACTCGTCTTTAAGGATAGAGAGTAACACGAGCGAAGGACAATCTCTGGATTTGTCCAAAACTTTAGAATTCCTAGTGTGACAAATACTAAACTAAAATACTGAGCTGTGGTAAATATTACAATCCTGTTTTTTCAAAGGAGTAATTTAGCATCACCATGTAATGTAGATTTTTTTGTATTGAAAGCATCAAAAATGTGAACATTACCATGGTAACTAGAATATAACCATGGAAATAAGAGTCTCTGTTGGGCATCAGCTGATGATGCGGATAGTATATTGAGGATTTAGCTGAGAATTGGCTCAGCGAGGAAAATGATGTAGTGGAAAATTTTACATCATTTCATTGTATTTTAAAAAAGGAGATGCATAAGAACCAGCCCTGATTAGCAATAAAATATAAAAAAGTAGAAAACTGAAATTTTGAACACCATCTGTCAGAGTTAACGGTTGAGCAGTTACTCTTACAGCGGTGTGATGTCGAGGAGGACATTAAGTTAGACAAAGAACAGATCCAGAGGGAAAGACACACCAGCAGTGGAGCCAACATAGCATTTTTTATTAATGAGTCAGTGTCTTGGGTAGTAGTTGGTAAAACAGAACACAAATCCAGAAAACCAGCCACGATCAATTATTGGTCCACCTCTACTTAAATGGTCCTCTTTATCAGAACTTTTGATATGACTACTCTCCTCGTGTCGAAAAGCTTTACAACAGTTTTGTCCAGAAACATCCAAAGTGTGCATTGCTACACAACTTAGAAACTTCAAGCATCTCCACGGAGTACACTGAAAGTAGAGTTAGTCATGCAATGAGTAATAACCAATTTCTCATCCCACTAAATATATCCGTATCATTATCAAAGCTGTCATAACAACCCTCAGAAGCATTCAGGTCATCTGTTGGATCGTCTCTCTTCTTCTCAGAAGAAAGAATCTAATAATAATGAAACCATTAAGTGTGCATGTATATGTTTCCACCGGGAGTTTTAATAACCCGGCCTCCCCTCTCCTCTCCTGTGTAGGTGTCATTCACAGGGAAGCAAGGAGAGATGAGAGAGATGCAGCAGCTGTCTGGAGGTCAGAAGTCTCTGGTGGCTTTAGCTCTGATATTTGCCATCCAAAAGTGTGACCCAGCTCCTTTCTACCTGTTTGATGAGATTGACCAGGCCCTTGACGCCCAGCACAGGAAAGCTGTCTCAGGTAAAGAGTTGTTTTGAGTAAATATAGCGAGAATATATAAACCCAGAACAACAGCCTAAGCAATCTAGTTTTTAATCCTTTTTGAGGATCATCTTTCATCCTGAGTGAATGCAAACAAGATGTCACCTTTCAATGTATCGTATGGACATTTCAGACATGATTGTGGAGCTGGCAGGTCACGCCCAGTTCATCACTACAACCTTCAGGCCTGAGCTGCTGGAGTCTGCTGACAAGTTCTACGGTGTCAAATTCAGAAACAAGGTGAGACTTCCATCGGGGGCCAGGATTGATCCAAAAGAATTCAAGTCCAATGATCTCTAGAGACAGGACTGTGGGCGGGACGTCACAACACACGCACACACACGTGTCCTTTGTTTTCTGTCCGATGGTTGTGCTGTTATTTTGAAGAAGACTAATGATGTCAATAAGGATTAGCGCTGAAGCTGCATTGCATTTTATTCACAGGAATAGTTTGAAATCAGTCATTCGGTCTTTGGAACAACATGAACTGTCGGGGTCTGCATGTGTCAGGGAGTTGACAGTCTTTCCTTCAGTGAGGAATTCGACTTCAGATTGTGTCCCTTTGACAAGACCAGTGAAGTTTGTGGTGTCTGGTCAGTTTTAGTCAGATTCTTTCCTCCTGGATCCAAGGAAATCCCTGGCAGTATTTATCCCATTGACAGGGTTTACAGAATCAGAGGATTTGTTTCCAATCACATGTAAAGAGTAATGGTCCAATAAATCCCAATATTGTAAGCATGATAAATTATTTTGTCATTTTATAGATCCTACTTTTGAAAAAAAGCTCGATCTAAGAAACACAAAAATTAGCATAAAATGAAATTGAACTGGTACTTTAATATACACAGTAAGAGTGGCTTCCCCTCCTATTAAATTGGTCATGTTCCCTAAACATCAAACAACAAAGTACAAAGTTTGAGATAATGTGAGCAAGGAATTGTTCTTTGTATCGTTACTGATATGGCTTCATTGGTGGGGAAAAAAACACTAAATTTGAAGCACTGACAAGTATGTTCACACTGTCATTTAATGTTATCGTAAAACACTGTGAGAGAGAAGGTCTAGACCACACTGTTTGTTTGATTATCTCTAAAACTAAACTTTCAGATAAGACTCAGTCTGACAGGGATGTGATTCTTCAGGAGGGATCCAAAATTCAGTCGGTTACTTTCATTTTTTTACACAAAGTGGTGACCTGAGAGACCATCATGATGACTGGAAAGGTGGATAATGCCAATCACATCCCTGATCTTCTTTCATTTTAAGACACAACCAGCAAAGTATTTCCAAACAAAAACATTTTTTTGAGGTACATCTTAGTAAAAGGTAGAATCCAGATTCATGCTGGGCTTGGAGAGAGGGATTGATGGAGATACAGAAAGAAAAGGATGGATCGAGACAGTAAACAACCGCAGCTGAAACAGACTTCAGAAGTTAAGAAGGTGTAAAATTAATGTTCGCATTAAGAACTGTAACGATCATTATAATAGTTACTCACATAATCTGCTCAGTGTTCATTAGCATGAAATCACCATGTTGTTTGATGTAAACCTTGTCAACATAATTCAGCATTAACCACATTTTTGAGTTTCAGTTCAGCTCAGGTTAGTGATGCCTGCAGTGATGAGTTCAAAGTCTGATGAGGTTTGCATAAACCCACAAACTCGTGACATGACTGTAAAAATCAAATTGTATTAGACCCCACACCAGAAACCCAGTAAAGGTTTTTCTTTTTTTCCAGTGGTGTTCTCTTGATTTTCTGAGGTTTCTGAACATAAAAATAAGTGTGTGGTTTGAATGCACTGGTTGATCATTAACCCTGTGTGCATGTGTGCTTTCAGGTCAGCCATATTGATGTGATCACTGCAGAGCAGGCTAAAGACTTTGTGGAGGATGACACCACTCATGGTTAATGGTCTTCAGTCGGTCTTCATCTTCCTTGCTCCTCCTCCTCCTCCTCCTCCACCTCCTCTGCCGCCTCTCCAGTGCGCTGTGTAGCCTGAAGCCTTTTTCGTAAAGGTCCAGAGACTGAAGAATCTTAAATCTTTCCACCTGCCTTTTTGTTGAAGACCAACAACGCAGTATCACACAAAGCTTCCCTGCCATCTCTCAAAATCTGAATACATTGTTTTGTTTTAATATAAACAGCCCCAAACCCTGCTACAAATGACTGATATTTACAGTATCTTGATGTTAAAAAACAACATTTGGAGGATAATGTTTTCGTGGAGAATCTGAAAGTAGATCACATGAAAATGTCCTGTTTTGCTAATTATCTTCCTGCATCAGTTGACAGCGTAGTACTTAAACACTGAGACAGTCTTGATCTGATTTGCCTGAAAACATCCTGAAGAAAGCTTTCTTGGTACCCTTTTGTTACTGTATTGAACTTTTCTTACAAATGTTTTTGAAAGTGTTTTTTTTTTTTTTAATATAATTTGTAAAATGGGAAGAGAGGATGTTCACCTTCAGGACCTTTCCAGAAGCAAATCATTTAGTGTACAGTTGAGACTTTTTCACGGGTTGGATGTAGATTGAATTGAAAGCTGAAATATTAGCAGAAGTAGGTGGTCTTAAGCTAATCTTGATTAATGTTTTTGTCGCTACCTTTTGGATTACAGTTATTGTTCACTCTTGAGGTTCCCGTATTGTATTCTCTTTGTACTTATGAACTTGTACCTCGTGTTATAACCAGCCACGTGGCTTACTATGTTTCAAGGTTGTGGTTCCTTTTTACTCCATTGTGTAATATCCTGTTTTTAAGTCATTTCAGCGTTTGATTCCATGGATTGTAGATCCACTTTGGAAACACAAACAGTTCCCTTAAATTTAGCAAATATTTCAAGTGTAGAACTGTTTCATCCAAAACAATTTGAGTCCTCCTGAAAGGTCTTGTGACCTTGGTAGAAAGCCAAGTTGTTCTTGAGCGGGATCACAATTTGGAAGCCATGTTGTTGTTTTATTGTTTTCATACTGAATCAGTTGTTTGGCATAAATCTGATCATATGTTGTACCTAGTGTCAGGTCTGCCTTTTAAATGTTTTGACTCCTTTTTATGTAATTTGAAAAGTTACAAAAAATAATAAAAGTTTAAAAATTAGCTTTTTCATTACTCATTTGGAGCACTAGGTGGTGCTGTGTCATTAGTACCTGACATCCATGAAATATAATGCTGTTAGTGCACCAGAGTAACACCAGTAAACACCCTGACAACAAAAACATGTTGAATTAAGATATAAGTCACTGACTTGTGATTGGTGTAAACACATCTATAATTTTAAGTTTTTGTTTCAAATGAAATTCATCAAGAGACCAGAGCAGCATCGAGGAAAGGGGGACAAGGTTGACTATAGATATCAAGGTCAGACTCTGACGCTCATCGCACAGATGCAACACTTGTGTGAGATCTTGTTTTTGATATCGATGAACCTGTTGAGATACAATGTGCCAGGGGAGCTCCCACATGTCACACATAGGTGCCTGTAATCCTAGTGTCACATCACCACACACTGGCAGCGAGTCTGAAAGGTCCTGACCTCTTGTGATGGATTCAGAGACTCCTGTTGTAATACCACAGACCTCCAGAGCATCTGGTCTAATGTGTCTGCCAAGACTTGCATGGTGCTTTACGTCAGAGTTGATAACCTTTGAAAGAGGAGTACCCCAAACTGTATTTTCATCCTACCTTACAGTACCACAACATTTCCATTGTTATCCAAAGAGGAGATGAATTTCTTGTCCAGTGAGAGGTGGGACAGTCTGGGTAGCCCTTATTTTATTATTGTTGTTTTTTTACCCCTAGTGTCTGCTCCGAAGCCTATCTCACTTTCTATTGGAAAACCAGATAACAAACTTACTCTTATTATCAGTTATTCCCTTCTAATTCTGACAGAAAAAAACATTCATCCACATTTCCACACAAGAGTGAAAGAACATTAAGTTTTGTATGACATCTTTCTCATTTGATCTACAGGATTAGAGTTTTTGCATGTTGTTCTGGAGATGAGATTCAACCACTCAGATTGATAAAACAGAAGTACATTGTTGCTGTTCATAACATGCATGTTGTATTTCAGAACTGTAAACAGTATTTTGAAAACAGTATTTCAAAACTGAATAGAAAAAGAAAAAACCAAAAAGCTAGTGAAAGTGACAGATGTCCTTTGAGGAATTTAAAGGACAAAGATGACAAACCATTTTTTTGTGGTGTGGACAAGGATGGCCAAAAATGATTTTGTAATGTACGTATGTGTGTAACGTACGTACAAGAGCTTCTTTGCAACAGATCATGTTTTCTATTAACATTAAAGTTGTGTTTACAGAAGTTGGACCTCTAGTTATCAATGGTATCATTGTGCAAATACACTATTAATATTATTCTCTTTAAACATAATTATTATAACAATTAGTGTGAGTTTAACTGACATCTGAGCCAGCTGATAAAAAAAGCTGCTCCCTGCTATGGCTGCAGGGAGCGACAGTGACAGACTGGACACCTTATCCCTCTGTGTCTGGCCCTTAATGGTCTGAGCCTGCCAGCAGAGAGGAGATCTGTTGCTTTGGGACGCAGTTATCAACAACATAACCAAAAACTCCTATAGATTTTCATTTCCTCCCATCATTGATCATCAAACTCTAGAAAGGACAGGGGTGTGCATTCATGAGTCAAGTGTGAAGTGTAAGCAGAAACTTGTTCGCCATGAAAGAAGTCAGAAGCAGTTCTGACTGCACATTTTGGAATAGAAAATCTGTCACTCATAATAAGGCAGCCCAGCCTCTGCCTTGATGTGATGGGTCGTAATAATCATTTGATATTTTCTGCAGGGTTTATTTACAGCATGTGAATGTTTAAGAGAGGGATGAGTACAAGCAAATTAAGCAGGTAACATGAACCACTGACATTGTTTAGAGTGGTCTCCCAATCATTAAAACAAGGACCATGCAGCCTGTGTTTGTTCCTGCTGTTACATTCCCCAATACCTTCTTGCTCATTAAAGAATATTTACAGATCAATTTGAGTGTTGCCACATTTTCAGGACAACATAGACATCCTAGAAAAGTTCAATAACCACTCATAATTGGATTGTTAGTTGTAAAATGTATCCATGATACATCTCAGAGTATTTGTCAATGTAAGTGGATTTGTAAGTGTGTTTTTCTATTGACGACCCTTTGTCTTCTCCTCTCTTCTCACCCGTATTATATTTCCTCTAATCCATGCCTTCATGCTTGGAGTCCCTCTTCCCTCCATTCTCAGACAATAAACACCATGTCTTTTCAACCGCCGGCCCGCCTCTCTGCCCTCTGCTTCCAGAATGTGAAGGACACTAATGGACAGATAATTCCAGGTCCCATAATCAAGCTCCTTATCATAAAAACAGGCATAAATCTGTCCTGGTTTTTACAGTCAACAAGTTAATTTGTTGTCTAACAGGTGCTTATTTACTGCGGTAGAGAGTGGGAGGAGGAGGAGAAGGAGGAGGAGTATGCTCTGTGAACAGATTGGCTCTGTCCTTGCACTTGCATGGTGGTCCATCTGCCATGTGGGCCAGACAGAGTATCGCTCTCTGCGACTCTAGAGGCATCTTTGAAACCGTCTGATTTATCTCCTTGTCAAATGATCTGTCCGTCATCTGTCAATTTGTTTCTCCACTTGTCAAACGCGAGTGATTGTGGTCTGTGTTAATGTTCTGATGTACACGCTATGTCCCAAAAGTATGAGCTCCACTGAGAGGAGTTGTGTGTGTGTTCTCTCAGACAAAATAATCTTATTCATGAGTCAGCCTGGCCAAACTGTTTTCAGACTAATGGACATAAAAATGTAGATTTTTTTTCCCTGTGGCACACATGCTATGACGTGTGAGGTAGGTTAAGTGAAGAACATGGGTGAAATAATAATGATTTTATCTGCATTAGTTGTCAGTTTTTGACTCAGGCTTCTTAAATTATATCAAAGTTTTATCCACTCTTGGCTATAACTAAATTCTCACATGTTATTGGATTATTGCAGGTTTAAACAAATTCTGAAGGGTTAGTTAAAAAGAGTTATAGCCTCATCCATCTTTCATAACCCTGCATTGTATGCTTCCAGAAAACTTGAAAGTCAAATTCAAGTTGAGACCCAAGAACAACAGGTCCATCTGTTATAAGAAACCCAGGATTTAACACTGTTCTTTTCAATGACACACTAAATTAACGTTGTTTTCGTTTTTAATGGTGGTAAGTTAGCCTAGTTTTTCCACACTCCGTAAGTATATCGAGAAACACAGACAGAATAAAGGAAACATCTTTTTGTGTGGTTTCATTATTTCAATAATGAGTAGTAAGCAGTAATATATGATGTTTCCGTATGACCCCAAATGCATCATCAGATGTTTGCGGCTTGCACGCTTAACTGAACTTTTCAGTTGTATTTTAAAATCACTTAATGGTGACTTAGATTGGTATGTCTATCTCCACTGGTTTCGTCGACCATTATAGTGCTTTTTAAGTATCTCCATGGTGAATACTGGTCTAACTTTCATAGTTCCCGCTTGTTTGCTAGTTTTGTCATAAAAACGAATGCGTCACGTAGTTTGTAGGATTAGCCAAAAGTCCCCGTGTGAGTTTTCATCACGTCTGTGTCTAAAAATGCTGAATGACCCAGCTAAAGTTTTTTTCCCCCTTCACCTCAGAGATGGTTGCAAAGTGTTTCATGAGAGGCACTGAGCCCTTCTAGCCAGATAAGCGCCCATGAGGCGCAGAAGTCAAGCCAAGTTTTGGGTGAGTTTAAGTTATAAATTGACACCTAGTTTTGTGCAGAGGAGTTGTAATTTTCTCGAGCAACTGGATTTTAATGTGATGTAACAGTTTAAATAATATTTGTGTAGCAATAAGCGGATTTTTACTCCCTAAAATAAAGCATTTAATGATTATTTAAAATAAAAAAAATTTAAATGTTGCATGGTATACTTTTTAAATTAAACTTACTTTCTTAAATAAACTTATTTTACAACCTTTCTTGTCAAAATCTCCATAACATTTGACATATTTATGATTTGATCTATCTATGAATACATACATACAATACATATATATGTGTATGTGTGTGTGTGTGTGTGTGTGTGGGGGGGGGGGGGGGGGGGTTATTGAAAAACAATGTTATTTTTGACTGCAGCAATCTTCTCGGTCTTACATTTATTTAGCTCACACCAATATGCCCAACCTGGCAGATGGACATTAACCTCTGATGGCCTGCTTTGGAGCTGCTGAAGGCCTGCAGGAGGCCCTAGCTTAGACTTCGTGGAACCAAGGGTCAATCTGTTGTACAATCTTGTGTAAGTGATATAATGAACTGGTAATCAACTTCTTTTTTAGTCTTTCATTACGCTCGCTAAACTTGAATTGTCTTAAAAAGCACAGGACTTTGCTAGATAAGACCTGTTCATCATTAGTTGTTGTCAAACTTTAAAGCCTTTTATAAATTGACACTTCGTTAATTTAACCTCCTAAGACCTGGCGTCCACATGTGTGGACATCACATTTTTGGTTGTCAAGACCACAATATTAAATTTTGTTCACAAGGGCCTTCTCTCAAAATTTAAAAACGAATGTCCTCATATGTGGACATTCGTTTTTCTCAGAAACTACATCATGTAAAAAGATCATTCTTTGTTTTTGCACTCATCAGGTCCCAATTAGCCTAAATATCAAAGAGAAAATAAAAATGCATGCCTTGCAAGAGTTCGGATCTTAGGAGGTTAAAAAGTACTTATCAATATCCATGATTTTTTATATTATGTCCCATAGCAGAATATATAGAGTTAAAATTCAGCTCAACCTGTTTGTGATGCACAAGCTGTATGTTTTTGAATGAATTACTTGTAGGGTATTTTTACCACTAATTGAGTGAATCCGCAAGTTAAAATAGCTCATTCCGTCCCCCATCTACCTCTTTATAAGATATTTTATTGAAAAGATTGGTCAGCAATGCTTGAGAGTCATAGTTATTGTCTCACAGTTAAAAATGTATTTTTTTGGCTGATGCGCACTCTGTGCTAACTTTAAGAGATTCAAAGTTAAACTGTAGAGAGTAGGGGAGTTACATGAGTTGATTGATAAGTGATTACTAAA